ACTTTTGACTCAATGAGCACACGATCTCCCAACCTAATCTCCTGAACAGAGGTCGAGATCGTCGAGATCGTCGTGAAGACAAGGGAATACGATAAAAAAAAGAGGACATGGATCAGTACAATCTCATGGATTCCCTACCCTACGCTTTGCTTACCTGATCCCCATTGTTCTTGGTGCCTGTGCACCCATAAGCCGGATCAAGTACTGCTGCCGAGCAATAGGATAACCCCTTTGATATGATTCCCATAGCAGCTACTGCTTTTACAATAAAACCCAATGCCAAATGGTCTTTGTGGGCTACCTAGATACTTATTTTTGGGGTCACAGTTATACCATGATCATCACAGCTATGGATGACTTCGTTATCGAAAACATGGATCACGTACGTAGTGCATTGTTGTGATCGTGTACATAGTCTCACACATATTGGTGGTGGCGACCAAATGCTTGTTGTATAATGATCGCCATGGAAACCTGACATACAGCAAATATCATCAACAACAGCTTGAGACAAGCAACGTCATTACCACTCTCATACAATTACACAAGATATCTTGGATTCACTTATCATTTTGGCCTATTAGCCATACCATCGTAAACCTGAAACGAGTTTCATCCGGGTTATCATAGGTGGATCATGCTATACGCCTATAGCAAGATCCATCGATGAAAGCCCGTATGGAACGTTTCGTTCTCATATAAGGTTGCAAAAGGTAGCTTTAGCTGCAAGTTGTCATAAGTAAGTATAGCATGTTCATATACGTCTGCCACACTGTATCACAGCTCACTCTTGCTTGAACATAACAATGAAATTAAGCATACAATGAACCAAGCTTCTGTAACAAGCACCATGTTGGGCATCATCACACTCGAATTGCTTATTCTTGCAATACAAGGGTTCCCGAGAATTGCCACTACCTTTCGTCTACGATATCAGCATGTGAACTAGGAAGCTTTAACGAATGTAATACACAGTGGGAGAAAGAACAAAAGCACCTCACAACATTATTGTAAACGATCCAATCTTGCTTTCCCATATTCAAGTTTCCATTACCCCTTTCAATCCAAACACTAACCAAGTGATCCACATCATACATATACGAGCTGATAGCACGATCCCCTTCCAAACATTATGTTGAATCCAATTCCATTCGATGAAAAAAGTTGAAGAAGAGCATACGGTAGTGTGAATGTTTATAAAGCGAACATGATAAAGGAACAATATTGCAAACTGAACAAGAAACGGGTGATCACATAATGGAGATAGGTATAATTGTGTTGTCCTATTCTTGATAGCTGCCGTCATAAACATCCTTCGTCCATGATTGCGTGCATTGACTCGAGTATTCCAAGATCATCCACGGCACTAAACCCTTTGTTCAAGGTCATAAGCCCTCTCATCAATCCATCATCATCCTCAGCCTGATCCACGTAACATGATCCTTCCTTCCTGATAACAACGTACCAAGTAACAAAAGCAACATTCCAAGATTTCGCATCACTGTACTTGATTGCATCCATCCATCCATCCATAGCCATTGCAAATAAAGATGTTGGTTGAAACGAGCCATGTGATCGCTTGCTGATATGCTTCTTTTCCATCGCAGCTCAACCGGGTGATGATTGCTTGTATTACGGTGTACTTCATAGCTGACATGATATCCCATCCACTGTAATCGTATGTATCGATCACGTTGCTGCAAGTAACTTGAGACAATGGAATAAAGACCTTGCTAATAGCACCTGCTGTTGCGTTTGGTCGTGTAGAGGAGACTCCAAGAGCGCGTGTTGTAGTAGACTGACAAGGTTGTGAACGCTGTTACGATTGGTTGTGGCAAAGAAGAGTGCAAGAGCGTGTGTTGTGGCAAGAGACTCGTGTGTTGTAGAAGAGTGACAAGAACGCTGTGTACACGCCATGGAGTTGTCATTCCGTCAATGGCTTTCGGATCAAGACAATCGTAGGATTGACATTTGGTTGAAGCAGGATAATCGTTCGCAGATGGCAGTTGTACTTGAATGGGGCAACAGTTGCGAATGGGAGGAAGAGACAAGGAGTGGATTAAGTAGGTTGAGCTGTCCGACACTGTCGCATAGAATCACGTGAAACACACGCCTATCAACTTGATGCAGCCTTTGCATGAACACCTCCCTGACAACAACTTGATCCACATGACAATAGGTTCCTTGCTTGGTATGGAGAGAGTGCATGGGGAGATATCCATATTGCTTCATGTCATCGTTGCCATGGTGATTGGTTCGTTGCTGCTTGTCAATAGTCTTTATTCGCTTCAACAAGAAGTCGTACGCAGCCATTGCAGCCTATTGCTACAGCATGAAGCGACTAGCCGATCTTAGTTATGGACTTGGATTATGGCGTCGTTTACTCATTGGTACCAAAAGTAAGAGAGAAGCGAGTCCCTGGCAAGCATGATCTTTATGCGTTTCAAACGAGGTCCCCGATTAACATTACTCACTGCAACTTGTCCTTTGTTGATTATGTTTATTGCACGTTCAGCTAATGATAGATTTGATTTCTATTGCATAGTCTCTATGTTATTCAATGTGGCACCTCGTCTTCCCGCTCAAAGCTCTTCTTGTTTTTGCTTTTGCTTTTCTGTTTGCGTTTGATGTTGAAATGTGTTTTCTAATAAAGTCATCAAAGTTAGATATCGCTTAAATGCAATGCATTGATATACGTACGTGATCAAGCTCTCTGTAGTTGCTGTATCATTGATTGAAGTCTAACTCCCTCGCCAGACTTGTTTTTCGCCTCAGGGTCTTACATGAAGTCCAACTCCTTCGCCAGACTCTTTTCGCCCTCAGGGTCTTACATGAAGCCCAACTCCTTCGCCAGACTCTTTTCGCCCTTTTACTTGAGGTCTTACGCATGCTTTCACCAAACTAGTCAGTGTGCCTATAGATTGCCATACATAAGTAAACCTTCTTTCAACGATGCTTGCAACGATACAATAATTACATGACAATGATATTGTGGTCTGCTCCATTGAGAGAGCCTTTCCCTGTATGATTGAACTTGCTTTGTCGCAGGAAGACCGAGGACCGTTGTTGTAGGTATGATATGGCTGCTGCCTTTTTTTGCTGACGTGCTTTTTCTGTGATACTGCTATGGAACAAATGCTGGTTAGTTTCATGTATAGATAATACTTGATCACTCACATACCATTTGCTTTTGATTTTGTTGTATGATAGGATTGCGTTCTTGGCATCGTGGTGACGGCCCATATCAGATGTAGCCTGATAGCTGTGATAATTGCTCGATGCTTGTGATGATTGTTTCCATCATAGAGCTCCTCCAACGATAATGCCTCTTCCAAAGTCGTGCCTCTCATTGCATCCGTGCGATTGCTTTGTATGATATTCCTTGGTAAGACCAATTGCCGCCAAATTGTGCTCATGCGAATTGCACCCAAGAATGGATTGATTCATGAATAGGTTCAAAAGGAAGGAACCATGCCAAATTGATAGTCTTGTCATCCACATCGGCTCCACCACCCATATAATGAAGGGAGGACTTGGTCCAAAATGATAGCCTTGTCATCCGCATCGGCTCCACCACCAATAAAATGAAAAGAGGACTTGGGGCAAAATGATAGCCTTGTCATCCGCATCGATTCCACCACCAATAAAATGAAGAGAGGACTTGGGCCAACGTTGATAGTCTTGTCATCCGCATCGGCTCCACCACCAATAAAATGAAGAGAGGACTTGTGCCAACGTTGATAATCTTGTCATCCGCCACCAATACAATGAAGAAAGGACTTGTGCCAAATTGGTAATCTTGTCATCCGCCACCAATGTAATGAAGAGAGGTCTCATGGCAATAGAGAGGTTTGTCATCCGCATCGGCTTCACCACCAATATAGCGAAGAAAGGACTTGTGCCAAATGATAATCTTGTCATCCGCATCGGCTTCACCACCAATAAAATGAAGGACTTGTTCCAAATTGATAATCTTGTCATCCGCATCGTTCCACCCCCATTAAAATGGAGAGGACTTGGGCCAAATTGATAGTCTTGTCATCCGCCACCAATACAATGAAGAGAGGTCTCATGGTAATAGAGAGGCTTGTCCCCACAATGATAGTCCTTGTCATCCACATCGGCTGCACCACCGATAAAAAGAAAAGAGAACTCTACTCCCCAAAAGAGAGCAGGAGCCCTCACTCTGGTTTCAGGAGGAACCCACAGCACCAGAAACAGAACGTGACATCCTAGTACACCAGTGCATCTATAAAATGAAGGAATTAAACATGCAGGATTTACACCCTTCGAGAGAATCCTACACGCAACGTCTACCACTTCAAGAACGCTACCACGACGACCAGGTACCATTCCAGGTCCCAAGCCCCAAACTACGATGCCCGTGCAAGTCGATGTCTTGATGTTTTTTGTTTTTCCAAGTACCCACTTCAAAGATGATTACCGCTTGTGCCCAAACACCATCATCCAAAAAATGAAAGGGCGGTCAAACTATGAAGGGATGTATCACGGCATACACCATGACCCACCCCCACAATAAAAGACAAACGATGATTAGTAAAAAGTGGTATCCAAGCAGTGCCACTGATTTTAACTTGCCTTTTCAAGTCCAATCCCATACCCCAGTGGGTAACACGATGATGATGAGTGAATCGCCCTTTGGCTCTTGATCCACGAGGAGAAGAAAGACACCGCAAATGCTTTGTGACTTAATCGTAGAATGGGAACAAGGGATTCCTGGAACCGTACGTGGTCGCCATGGCAACGCCCCGAAAGTGATAGACGTTGACGTGTAAGAAACTCCCGTCGGGATACCTTCATGCCGATCCTTCCGTATGTGCAAGCAACTGGCATAGCTGAAATGCACGCCTGAATCCGGGCTGGGGTTTTCCATCCACCAATCTATCTCGCAATTCTTGCTGAGAAACTCTTTGGACACCTATATACAATATGCATGTGAGTGAGTGATTAAAGCCATAACACCTATTGTATGTAACTTACTATGCGTCTTCATCGAAGACTACTTCATCTGAGGTACCGAGAAAATCGGTGCCCCAGATCTCTGCAAGGGTATCGTCGTCGTCCAATACTAAAGCATTAAAAAAAGTTAGTATCATACAAAGTCATTCATCCCAATGAGTAAGCGTACTTACATGATGATGGTGGTGCAAACTCTGCTTCCGAAAAAGGCAATGTGCATGATGATGGTGATGGTGATGATGATGATGATGGTATTGGTAATGGTAATGGTGGTGGTACATAAGATGATGATGATGCTGGTAATGATGATGATGATGATGATGGCCGTTGTAAGCGTCTTGTGGGACATGCTATTGGCCTTGGTCTTTCCTCGCCTGCCATGGCTGAGGATGTGGTGGCGGGTGGTGTTGGTGGTTGTGGTGGCGGTATTAATGGAGGTGGCCTTGGTGGTGATGGAGGTGGCCTTGGCGGTGATGGAGGTGGCGGTGATGGTGATATTAATGGTGGTGGCCTTGGTGGTGATGGTGGCGGTCTTGAAAGTGGGGGTGGTGGGATCCCACTTGTTCTCTGCCATCGAAGGCGAAGTGGTGGTGGTGGCTTCCCACTTTGTCGTTGCCATCGATGGCGACTTCGAGGCCGTATAACGGACCTTCGGATCTCTAACCGTGATCGGTTATTGCTGCTACCTGTGCTAGATGCAACAGGTATTGCTGATGCCGCTGGTGCTGATGATGCTGCTGCTGCGACTACTGCTGCTACTACTACTTCCGGTGTGGCCTCCGGATGGATGGTGATGGTTGGCTGTGGCATCACTTGGGTATATAGAATCGGTGGTTCTTGTTGTTGTTGTGGCAATGGCAATGGCAATGATGGTGGCGATGGTGATGGTGATGCCATAACTGTGTCTTGCATGTCTTCAACGACTTGTGCTTGCTCTGAGGCACCTGCGTCCTCTATAAAAAAAAAGAGATTAATAAGAAATCATGCCATTTGGTACCAAGTCCAAGATGTAATCCACTTACCATTCTCTACGATCTCTCGTAAATGTTCAGGAGTACCAGGAGGGGCATCTGGTACATCCGTGTCTGGCTCATAGATGTCGAGCTTGCTAAGAGCTTCACCTATAAAGAATAAATCAGTTAGCGTCAATGTATTGTTGAAATCACGATCCTTCCATCATAAAGTATACTTACAAAGCTCGTCTAAGGATGATGATGATGCCGATGCAGATGATGATGATGCAGATGATGATGATGATGATGCAGATGATGATGATGATGATGCAGATGATGATGATGCCAATGATACAGATGCAGGTGGTGATGATGATGATGATGATGTTGCTGCTGTAGTAGTAGTAGACTTCTGTGCCGGTAAGCCGTACACATGCTGCATGGCTTTATGCATAGCCATTCCCTGTAGCAACTTTGGTGGGGACCGTGTGCTTGAAACTTGCTTGGATGGTTTGAAAAGATCCACAGCTGATGATGTGTTGATAACAGCATCACCCTCCAAGGCCGACATGTTGCCATGATGACGGGGCACTTGTGCTACTGGTCGTGTAGAAAACAACATACCAGGATACTCGCAGGCTTGCGCCTTGCATGGAACCACTGGAGCTACCCAGGGTTGACGATTAGCCAAGACAACAGGGCTAGTAGGCACCTGTGTCGATTCCTCACTTACCTCTCGAGCCGCCCGCAACGGCACGCCGGCCGAGCAGTCAGCATTGCTAGCAATCGGGACGTGAGTCAACCGATTGTTGGGACGCGAAAGCCCCCACCGAACCAAAGGGATAACGACACCGAGAAAGAAGGCAATTGGCATCACCCACATGAAATGTACTTGTTCAAAGACGTTCCATTTCAATGCGGCGAGCACGAGCACAAGAGGAAAGAAGCGAGCCGGTTCTTGATGAACTTGATGTGGCATTGCAGAAAGAGGAGGAAACCTATTGCCATGGCGACAAAGTCGACTTAAAACACCCCGCCCACATTTCACGCCCACTCGATCTCACTTTGCAAATGGCGCGTTACCAACTCGATTTACGTGTAGAATCGTCTGCAGATCTCAATACAATAATTTATTTAAATAAACAGTGCGATTTGGAAGCAAACGGGCGCGTCAAAGAATCATAGTAACCATAGTGTAGGTTGCCCTTCTTCACTAATTTCTCCTTATACATAGCGTGTTATTGAGTCTTTTTACGTGTAGAATGGTGCGTACGACTTGATAATGTATTGTATTATAATAAAGGAGGGCTGTTAGGATGCAAACGAGCGCGTCAAAGCTGCATAGCTATCACACTCTATAAAGGAGAAGCTCTAGAATCGAGGTACGAGACCTAAAAAGTTCCCAGCAGGTACTTTCAGATGCAGTGATCATTTTTGTTCTCATAAAGGTACTATGGTTGTCTATAAAAATTTCGAGTAATGATTCATCATGTACCTGGTGTGCATTGTCATGGGCCGAATAGGACATGCAACATGGCCTGTGCTCCACACTTCACTATCAAAATCACATCCCGACCTGTGGTGAGTCCTTATCTAATAAAGCATTTGGCTGTTGCCATCATCCTCCATGAGCAAACAATGCTATCAGCTTCATCACGGTCACGGCTTCAGAAGAAATCATGAAACCAAATCTAAATGGTTAATAGAGACGTCGTTGCGAGAGCAAACAAGGATCAGGGTGCCTGAAAGAAGTAATCACTTGACAAAGGCTCCTGGATCAAAAAGCTCATCAGCATCAGTACCCCACACCTCATGTTTTATGTCATACAGCATATAGTTTGATACGCTCGACATCTTTGTTCTCATAAAGGAATTGTATTTACTTGTTAAAATTGTCCACAAGGTCATCCAATACCCAATCTTATATCAGGAAAAAGTCATTATACTATTCATTGACGAGGTGCATTGAGACCCAAAGTCCCATCCTTTCACCTTTATTACTGTACCCAATCCTTCAATATCTTTTCTATTTGTATGGTCGAGGACATTAACTACCAGCAAAGACCACTTTTCATATAGCAAGCATTCTTCATCATGTGTTAAGCGTAGGTAAAACATAAAGGCATCTATATCTCAAAACTACACAATCAAACCCGGGTTCTTTATGAGAACAAAATTGATCAGTGACCTCAAAAGCACCTTTTGACAAAGTTCCAAGACTCAGAAGGGAGACGAGCCATTTCACGTCATGGAGGGGTCGGCTTGTCGACTTTAGGAGTTTCCAATCTGCTCCAAGGCTGGACGCTGAAATGAGGTGAATGGCTCATTTCGCATCTGGGACTTGAAACTTTGTGAGAAGGTACTTTTGATGTCACTGATCAATTTTGTTCATATAAAGAACCCGTGTTTAATTATGCAATTTTGAGATAGGGTGGGGTAAGATAGTAGTTGTCAAAGTGACAGGGCAGTCCACAGAGTGTGATAATGAGTAAATGACGTCAGCAGCATGGGCCGGTCGGGCGACTTTTTTTTTTCTTCAACCGACAAAACAGACACAGGCTGTTGATACCTTTGTTCTCCCCACTCTCTCTTTTTCATATGTTGGCTGCCACCACGCGTAGAGCTTTTGCCTCCCTTTCCAACAGTGCCGCCAAGGCATACAGCACCGCCGCCACCACCACTCAAATCAGCACTGCTCAAAATGGCATCAAGGTTGCCTCGATTGAAGAGCCCGGCCAGGCTGCTGGTTTGTCCGTTGTTATCAATGGTGGTTCTCGACTTGAAAGCTCCAGCGGTGTTGCTCATTTCTTGAAGAACTATGGCTTCAAGGTGAGACGACGAAACACGTACACAACATCATCACCATAACAACAACGCCTCTAAACAATTATCTATATCTATCTACTACATACCCATCATAGAACAACAGCAAGCGTACTGCTTTCCGCGTCACTCGTGAAACTGAATTGGCTGGTGGTGTCTTGTCTGCCAACCTTACTCGCGAAACCATTTCTTATTCTGCCGAGTTTTTGAACGGTGATGCGTGAGTTTTTTTTATATATATATGACAAGGAGAGGGAGAGAGAGAGAGAGAGATGAGATCACTTACAATGATGATTATAGTGCTCAATTCGCTGAAGTCTTGGGTGATGTTGTTTCCAACCAAAAGTTCCAACCCCACGAGTTTGTCGATGTTGCTAAGCAAACTGCTGCTGAATCCTCTGCTGCTGCTCACTCGGCTGAAGTTGCTGTTCTTGAAGCTGCTCATCGTGCTGCTTTCCGTACTGGTCTTGGTAATGCCATCTTTGCCAACCCCAATGCTCGTATCAACAATGATGCTGTCAAGGCTTATGCTGCTGAATTGTTCCAATCTGGTAACATTGCCTTGGTTGGTTCTGGTATCCCTCTTGAGGCTGTCCAAGAGTTTGCTGAGACTTTCATCAATGTCCCTGCTGGCAACGTCTCTCGTCAAGCTTCAAAGTACTATGGTGGTGAGGTCCGTGTTGAATCTTCTGTCGATGGAAAGAGCCACTACATTCTTGCATTCGAGGGTGCTCCTTTGAACTCCAATGAATACGCTGCTGCTCAAGTCTTGCGTTTCGCTTTGGGTGGTGAGCAACGTGTCCAAAACGCTGCCGCTGCTGGTCTTCTTGGTGAAGCTGCCGCCAAGTTGGGTCAAGATGCTCAACTCAAGGCCTTCAACATTGGCTACTCTGATGCTGGTCTCTTTGGTGTCTACGCCTCTGCTCCCTCTTCCTCTGTTGCCTCTGCTGTTGCCGCTGCTGCTGAACAACTCAAGGCCGTCTCCAAGGGTATCTCTGAACAAGACTTTGCTGCCGCTGTTGCTCAAGCCAAGTTTGCTGCTTCCAATGCTTTCGAGACTCGCTTGGATCGCTTGGAAACCATTGGTGCTCAGGTAAGATAAAAGGAGGATTTGGGGATTGGAAAGAAAAAGTGTATTGATTGGGATGCCCTTTTATTAGGCTCTCTTTGATGGCAAGTATACCTCTGTCGCTGAAGTCGCTGCTGCTTTGGACAACGTCTCCACTTCCGATGTCGCCAAGGTACGTAAATCACTCAATATGAGATGATGGAATGGGATAATTGATTTTATTTGCTATCATCTAGGTTGCTGAAAAGTTGTTGAGCGGCAAGGCAACTGGTGCTGCAGTGGGTGAACTTTACAGCTTGCCCTATGCTGATTCTCTTTCCCTCTAAACTGTAATTTTCCAATCGAACGACATATAAACATCAATCAAAAAGGGACAACTTAGTATTGCATGATTTCCTTCCAAAAAACTACACCATTAAATGTCATAGAGAGAAAAAACAAAACATGTATTTGGTATATCTATTCCCTATATTGTTGGAAAGTTCATTATGCATCTCCCCGTTTCCCATGACAAAAGAAAACCAGTGTGTATGTATATAGGAGCTGCGCTTCTTCTTCTCTTTCTTTCTTTCTTCTTTTCTTTGTATATTATATACTATGGTGCGTGCTTTATTGCTTGCTTGTTTACGACCATCGACGCTTACTACAACTACGAGTACGGCATTGCAACGGCCTATCGTGTCGAAATTACCAGCTACTATTCGCCATGTTGCCACTTCGTGGAGGGTCATGATTCGACCCCACTACTACAATCAGCCTGAAAAGTCGTCTTTATCCAAAGCCTTGCAACAACAACGCAATCCCATTCGGCAATTCCAACGACGGCTCGACAATGCGAATCCCAATACGGTGCTGTATGCGCTTTTAGGTGTCAACGGGGCCGTGTTTCTTGCGTGGCAATATGCAGTCAATAGCTACAAAACATTCGGCGACGGGCGTTGGCTCAACTTTATGGCCGCCAATTTCATGAACTCGGCTGAAGCTTTCAAGCACGGACGATTCCATACGTTATTGACATCATCCATATCGCACCGTGATCTAGGCCATCTTGGTCTTAATATGCTGGTGTTGTATTCTATGGGTCAGGCTGCTATTGAAGCCCTCGGTGCCTCTCGATTTCTATTACTCTACAGTGGAGCGGGTATTGCTGCATCCTTGGCAACATTGGCCTATCGACAATATGTAAGACCTATGCTGGAACGAAAACGTCTTGTTCGGGGAAGCGCTCCTTTTGGCTCATTAGGTGCTTCAGGTACGTAGTAGTAGTAGTAGTAACAAGGATAGCTTTTATATTCATGCATGCCATATAGGATCTGTCATGGGTATCACTACTTTTTATGCTTGTGCATGTAAGTTGTAACATAGGGGAAATTCTACTGGTAGCATACTCATTGTCCAACGTAGTCCCACGAACCACATTTTTGCTCTTTTTTGTGATTCCCATGCCAGCCATTGCCGTTGTTCTTGGTGTTGCAGGATATGACTTTTATCAAGCTTTCACACTCAAGGTACGGAATATCAAACATCACATCATGCGTATGCTAATAGGCTCATTTATAGAATGAGGTGGTTGACAGTGCTGCTCATTTGGGCGGAACAGCTTATGGTGCTGCCTACTGGTTCTTACGCGTGAGACCTTTGTTGCGTGCAGGTCGTTGGCGTGTTTAGTAATCCATCATTAGAATAAAGTACGGTCCAATTTATCATCATCTAGAGTCATCATCATGGCATGCTTAAGCAGAGATAATAGTAGATATTTACTATAGAAGAATAGTTGATGGGTACTAGACGAACAAAATAAAGGTATAAAGCAACTAGGGCTCAAATTCAAACTCGTTCCACAATCTATCAAACTCGATCTGGAATTCTTTGATGCATTCAGGAATATTGGTAATGACAATGTTTTCCCTGTTCTTGAATCGTGCACTATAAAAAGAAATTGACTTAGTTCATGCCGCATCTCTGTTGTGACGATCCTTACTTTTTCGACCAGTTGAAGCTGCCGTTGATCAAAGTCTTTCCATCAATCACAGCGAATTTGTTGTGCATATAAGAGGGACTGCATTTTGTGTGCGTTAGCATGTGTATGCGTGTTGCCTACATACCATGGTGGCACTTACGAGTTATCAGTCTTGTAAGGGATACCATGGTCTTTTTGTAATCTTGAAGGATCAGCGTATTTGCTTGCGGCTTGTTGGTCATCAGTAATGATACGAATCTTTACATTGCGTTTCTTGGCCAAGATAAGAGCATCAGCAGTATCATCATCGGTCATGGAATAAACACAAATATCAATGGTCTTTTGGGCAGAATGCAAAGTAGAAATAAAGGCCTTTATGGGGAAGAAAATGTCAGCAGCGGCGGGCGGAGAAGAGAAATGTCAAAAGATCATCACTTACGTTGAAGCTTTCCTTGGATGGGAAAAAGTACGATCGAGCAAAGTAACCATTTTGCAAAGCAACACTGCTTGCGTTGAAATGCTTTAATACAGCACCTGCACCAGCACCAGGTTGAATAGCAGACACCAATTCATCGCCTTTCTTTTTAAACACTTGTGGTTCATTGTTGTTGCTGTTCTTTTGGTAGGTGACAGGGGTGAAATCCTCAACATCATCATCATCATCAAAGGAAGGTCGATATTCTTCATCTGAATCACGATTTTTGCGTTGTCGTCTTGGGGGTTGTTGTTTTCTTCGAGGTTTGTTGTTGTTGGAAGGTTGCGGCACAACGGCATCTTCATCCTCCTCATCTTCCGATGCTCCGATCTTGTCATACGTGGATGGCACGGCTGCTGTAGTTGTCGTGCCACCAGAAGCCTCCTGCAGCCCCATTTGTATGGCCATCGTCACGCATGTTTCGAGCCACTCAATCATACAACGTTCACGGTCAAATTCACATGCTTGACGTGCAGCATCAAACATCGTATTCACGGTACGCATCGTATTATTCACAGAATGTGATTTCGATCCCAATAAACTCTTGATACGCGAGGTTGCATCTTGTTTAAGCGTATCATCGTTCATGATCAACTTGGCTGATTGCAACGTCTATGTCGGGTCAGCTCCCAATAATGGTAATAAAATAACGCGAATAATAGTACCTTGTTCATAAAGGGTTGGAAGTTGGCCTTTTTCAAATCTTGGCCTGTCAAGGTTGGGGGTGCCCCCATACAAAACAACTCATAGAGTACATTCATTATTATGAACAATGATGTATGTGCGTGTGCGTGTGCGTGTGCGGTGAAAGAAAGAAAAAAAAAAGAAAAAGGAAAAAAGGGCGAGGCGCTCCCCTTTATTTCTGCGAGCCATTATTGAAATCGTTCCTGTACAACGTAACACATGCAAGCACTCTTTGTCTGATGCAGCAACCGCGTCTCTTTGTCATTTTTTGTATTCGCACAATGGAAGAAGTGGGGTGGGGGGATAGGATGCAAAATAGATACATGAAATGGGGTATGGGGTGGTTATCAATGATGCATAATAATACTGCTAAGTGCTACCTGCTACCTGCTACTACTACTACCACTTGTTATGTGTACCGAGTAAAATCCAACAAGAGTTCTGGAGGTACCAAAGAAGCTGAAGGTGCAGATGTTGAGGAAGGAGATGATACAGGTTGTTGTTGTTGTTGTTGTGGTTTGGCTCCAGCCACACGATCTCGAATACGACGAATTTGACGTAAACGTTCACGCCAATGAGAAAGATATTCATGACGACCACTGACACCTGATTGGAAGACTTGAGCAAAAATGTTGGCATGTAAAGCGGTTTGTCGTACAAAGGCAGGCAAGGAATGAGCCGATACAAGTTTTGGATCGGATATGGGACCAATATCCGGCATGTCAGGACGACGCTGCATTTCCACTCTAAAGAAGGTGCTATGTGGATCGGAGGATGCGGGTGAATGAGGCGTGACGACAATGTTGATGAAATTGAATTGACCAGGCAAGGTATCAAATGCATAATCATGACCCGAATCATTGTAAACCACCGTGACAAAGTCATTGCCGATATGACGCTTCTTGTTGCTGCAACGTGGATCACGTGTCAAATCCGTAGGCATCATCGTAGCGGCATGGAAGATCATTTGTGTCACATCATCACGCCAAAAATAGGCATAGCGTCCATCAATATCCATCTCACGATCCAATCCACCTGTATTGTCGGTTCTACCACGTAAGCGCTCAATGCTGCCAAGCGCATTAAGGAATCGAACATAATCCGGTGACCCGTGAGTGTTGGAAAGAATCTCGACTTCTGTACGCTGACCACGTCCCACATAAAGAACGCCCACCTTGTGGAAATCAACCACTGGAATACGATCCAAAATTCCAATACTACGATGCGTGGCATCATCTTCAGGTAACGCAGGCATCATCTCGGCTACACGTGTCATATCAGGATAGTTGCTTAGTTGCAGGAATAGAAAACCAGGATCAAGTGAATGGTCGGTGCGTCGTAATAGATGGCTGCTGCTCATGGCTGATGACGGCGTTGTTGGGTCATTGCCTGTTGGATCAGCAAGTACTTGCTTGATACTTCGTTCACGATCAGGACTTGCAGGTGGTATAGGTGATTGTTGTTGTTGTTGCTGTTGTTGCTGCTGTTGATCATTCAATGTGCTAGGTGATGATGATGAAGATGTTGTTGTTGTCGTTGTTGTTGTTGTTGCTGGTTCGGTCGTATTATCAAATGTGATGCCAAGTCCTGAACCTGAAGGAGCCTGTTGTTGTTGTTGTTGCTGTGAAGAAGATGATTCAGGTGATGATGGCTGCTGTTGTTGATCATTTTCAGGCTGGCTACGTGGTGGCAAGAGTTCAGGAGCGTACTGCATCATAAGCAATGCTGGCAATGTTTTATAATCAATAGCCCCGGCCTTGATACGATTCTCAATGTTGCACATGAGCGATACAGTGCCAGAAGGACGACGAATAGTAAATTCAGCCCAACCAGGTGTACATGCCGTACGTAATGTCAATAACGTATGACCATAAACCCAAGATCGTGTACTTTGACGCGTTGTGGTCGTCGTTGTTGCTGTTGCAGCCGTCGTAGTCATCGATCCCGCTACTGGATCACCCATTAAAATACGAGCCACAAGCGACTTGTCAGGTGCAAGGCTGATATCGGCAAAGCTGAAACGTGACAACATGTCAATACACGTATAGGTTTGTTCATCAATAGGTCGACCCACAGGTGTTGCGCTCAAAAGCCGTTGAATGATGAAGGATACATGCTTGCGTCTTTCTCGTAAAGGTACGGCTGTAAACCATACTGTAATCACCAAGTACGCCATGATAAGTACGTATTGCGACAAAGCACGTTGAGTGACCGATGGCGTATTGCCACTGCCATTACCCACCACAGGTGAACTTGCTGCAGCAGGTGACGATGATGATGATGATGATGGCGGGGCTTGTGGTGGTGGTGGTGCATTGGCGGCAGCAGCGGCAACGGCTTGAGAATGTTGAAGATAATTGAGTGCAATAGCAAATACAGGCTTGTACATGTCACTTGTAAAGTTGGCGTATAAGGTTGGTAAACGTGCAAGACCCGAAAGAAACTCGAGAATGTGAACGGAGACACTGCTGACTGAAATAATCTGTGACATGCGTTGAAGAATCTCATTGAGCATCTTTGTAACAGAAAGTGGAAGCTCATAACAGCATACGGCAAGTGCATTGATACAAGGACGTGTAGCTGCAGTGACTTGAGTGAGGCCAAGGTAAAGTGCATAGACAATCTCATCTTGATGCTGTTTGCTGAAAAGACGTCTGTAGGCAATCAACACAGCCAGTATCCGGTATGCATGCACATAGAGATCATTGCGCTTGATCGATGATGGTAGATGCTGAATGCTATCCAAGAATCGCCGTGTACTGATCCATGTCACCACGCGTTTCCTTAGTCGTTCAATCGCTCGTTCGGCTCCACAGAATAAATGCTTATTCCCCAATTGCTCTGGTAGTCGCTCAAGCACAAATAACACAAGTTCCCAACTGCGTGAAAGCTCAAGAATGGTCGTATATCCTTCCAACATCTCTTCGGTACGTAACACAATTGCCGTAGCGTCGTTATCCGCAAAAGAAACCACCACAGGACTTGGATGGCGTGGTCGATGATGTGATGCTTGCCCTTGAGGTGCAGCTGGAGGAGGTACGGCCACTGTATTTTGTTTCTCGCGGTTGGCACGTTCTTGTTTACGAATAGCTCGTCGTTGTCGTACGGCTGCCATGACACTGTTGCTATGATTCGATTCTATAACAATGTCAGCATTATTCATGATAAGTATATATTACAAAAGAAAACTTACCTTCATCAAGCACAAAAATCCGATGATCAGGAGTACATCTCAATCGTAACAAAATATCCAATGCCACCACTTTGGATCCACCATAAATACATTCCATGCCGTCCATGCTGTTGGCAAGCTCCGTCAACGTCTCAAACACACGCATGCAGGCATGTCCATCCGTATCTCGTAGCACCAATTCATCAAACAATTCCACCAATCCACACATGGCTGCTATGCCGGTGCAACAATGATCAGCATCAATGAGGGCAGGATCTGCAATAGGGACCACTGGACTACTTGCGCTGTGTGGTGTTGCTGTCGAACTTCGTGGCATGGATGGAAGTCCTACGCTGCTGCTACCCACGCGCTCATGTTGCTGTGATTGGCTCTGTGATCGTCTCAAGGCTCCTCTTTTCTTTTCAAGACTTGCAGGAGATTCAACGCAACGACATCGAGTACATCGTTTCAATACATCCAATAAGCCATCAAATACTGATTCATCATCATCAGGTGAACAATCGCCAAGTGCATCCACAATCAAATCCACCGTGCATTGTCGAATGGTTGGATCACTCTCATGGGGTGCGTTGGCTACCATGGGAAGCACCACGTCTCGATTCACGGCTTCGACATGCAAATCCTTGATCGCCGTACATACATCCGTCACTATCGATAGCACTCGCAATCGCGTATGTCGCTCCACTGTTGTAGGTATATAAAACGTGTGCACCACATCAATCAGACGTCCAATCCATCCATCGGTCGAAGGCAATAACATGTGCTCCGCTTCAAGGTAAGCAAGTAAGGCATCGGATGCTTCCACTGACAAATGTTGACGTAGCACATGAAGCACATTCATCATGCGCCCAATAGGCCCTGTGTACTGTCCTTGTTTGTAAGCTGAATACACGTGATCAAGAAATTGTACAAATTGAGCCACCAAGACATTGTCCTTGTCAAGCTGCTGTTGTTGCAATGGAAAAGATGCCAAGATTTGACGCTCGGCCGTTGTCAAGACACGTGTTGTAAATGTAAGCGTGCAAGCATCACAAATATCCCAAATGGTATCCCATTCCAATAAGGCAATCTCATGACCCAAATGATCCGTCATCATGGTCAAACTTGCCAATACTGCCGCTTGAACATGCTCGTCACCATGCAACGCCGCCCGACGCAAGTAAAGAAGCACGATCCCATCTGGAATTTGACACGTCGTATCCGCTTCACGCATTCCCCAAGCCGCTTCGGATAACAATCCAATCGCACCTGTGGCCAACTTCCCGCCATGAGTGGCCATGCGACATAAGGTCAAGACTGCATTGTGCGCACAATGAGATCGTAACAAGTTGGCCAAGACTGACTTTGGTGAAGAAGATGTCGTGTCGCTTACTTGAATGTTGCACAAGAGTTCCATGAATGGCTTCAATGCATCAAAAGGGACGAAACGATATCGAACCACCACATCTGCAAATGCGACACAGGCTACGGTATCAGGCCCTGGACCACATTGTTGTTGTACATGGCGTGTTGCTTTTACCATCTGAGTCACTTCGGCTTCCTCAAACATGGCAAAGTTGAATTTGCATATCATGGTCAATAAATGCATCAAGTCCCGAACATGAGGCACACCACCACCGCCGCCGCCTTGTTGTCTCGAATGTCCTTGTTCAAGTGCCACATTCAGCCATCGAATCAATAACTTGGCCACGTTCTTTTCAAAACCAGAAATGTCACGTCCACCATTGCATAGCGCATACAAGACTCGATACATGTCACCCAAATCTTGCCAGTGCTCATAGTCGACTAATATCTTGTACAATGCCACTCGACCCAATCCAAGCGTCTCGTATTGTCCTTTGATACATGCAATCATGAATTCAAATACGGCATGACGTGCAGCTTCATTCGTGGTGCTACTGCTGCTAACGGGTGTCATGGTGATATTGCTGCTGCTGCTGCTGCTGCTGCTGTTGGTAGTAGTGGTGGTTGTGGTGGTAGCGTTTGCCTGGTCGTCGCTGAGTAAGTCCTGCACTGCCTCAAGAACGCTATCGAGATGCGTAAACTTGTATGTACGACATAATCCCGAGAATGCAGCAAGGTGTCGACATCGCGTGGCTACAGGTTGACTGCTCGACACGAGAGGCAAAATCGTTCGTGCATCGAGAGGCGAATGCCGATCGCTTTGTTGTTGGAGATTAAGACACGATTCAACAGTGATGGAAGAAGCACGGGGTCGAAGAATGTTGCTCAGCCAACGATTCGAACTAGACGATGAAGAAGCCTGGTTGTGCTGATGACTAGCCATGAAACCAAGCGATAGTGTAGAAGCTTGTGTAGTTCAGCGAATGTTAGAAAAAGAGAGAGAGGGAAAAAAAAGAAAGATTGCAGGATTTCCGACTAAGCTATCTGTGGACGATGACCACCACCACCACCACTACCATCACCATCATCATCCTTATACCTCTTTGAATAACATTCTACCTATGTATTTATATGACTCATATTGCATTCATTCTTTTTCTTTATTAAACAAGTGTCTTTTGCACGATCCATACTTCACGTGACTCACCCCATTACCTTACAAGAGGCACTAAATGTGTCTTTATCATGATCAAATGAGCCTGGCTGGTGAAGGGATTTTAGCCTACTTTGCTAAAAGGATGATAAGATACTAGGTTATCATAAGGGATGGATGTAAGGATACAAGAAGCATGGTGATCTCCTCGCTCAACTTGTTGTACCCAAGTTCGCTTCTTCAAACCTTCCCAGCTTTATACTTGGAACGTGCAAGTTTCTGGATACTTTTTTTTTATCTTTGCTCTCACGCCGCCCGCATACCATTAATGGACCCATGTTGATAATACTTATATAAGCCGGCTGTTGTTGATCCTCCTCTTGTGTCTGCTCTTGTCTCCAACAAAATGGCTCAATTTGGTTACTGTGCAATCACTGGTGTTGATGAATTGATGGGCTATGCCATTGCATACCACTTTCTCAAGTCGTTTCAAAGAAAAGATATGAAAAAGAAAATACGCATCAAGCTAATCTGTCAAAGCCGCCAACACCTTGAGCACCTTGAAAGTATGGGAGGCGAACTTGTCGAAACCGATTACCATGATCAAGCTCAACTAGAACGGGAACTACGTGGTGTGGAGTACCTTGTTTTCATTCCTCAAATGGCAGAGAATGCTATTTGTCTTGGCATGAATGTATTGCACGCTGCAGCGGATTGCGAAGTGAATTACGTTGCCATGGTATCTTGGTAATAATAATACAACAGCAAGCATTGCACGTTTATTAATCTTTGGATGCTACTACTACTACTACTAGTCTAGGAACCGATATGATTGCTCGTGGTGATGGTAAACGTTGGCCAATGCATCAGCAGTTGTATTGCTTGGAACAATTGATGAAAAGAAGCTTTGATGAGGAAAGTTACTGCATCTTTCAGGTTCCAATGCTGGCTGAAGTATTTTTCTTTTTGACTCCCATGGTACAAGAACAAAACAAGTTACGTATGCCAGTGGATCAGGAACGCAAGTTTGCCATGCTTTCCCTTCATGATATTGTCCAAGGTGTATATCGACTCTCCATTGAGCAAGATACTACCTCACCATCATTCGCTTCTCGATTCTTATGGATTCTGAACAAGCAACAAAAGAATCAAACCTTGTTCCAATTTACCCCAAGGGAACCTGAAAATGCATCCAACATGGCTAGCCATATGGCGAAAGGACTTGAAATAGGACACGATTTCTCTTTTGAACGCATTGAGCCACACAACATGAAAGACTATTTGAAACGTATGCGAGATGACCATCGATTCCAACAACGTTTACCCATCAAGGAGACGTTTGCTCATCCTCTCGCAAGCTACCTCTCTGATGCCTGTATCCAGATCCTGCTCGAAGCATGGGATATGGCTGATCAAGGATACCTGGATAAGCACACCGATGACCTTGAACGAGCCTTGGGACATCCTCCACAAGATTTGATTCATTTCTTTCAATCCAATCGAAATAGTTTTGATCAGTTGAAGTAGTAGTGAATAGTAATAAAAGCATAGTTGGCTGCTGCGGTATACATTTATTATCATTGGTCGGAGGAGAGGACATTGATTTAGGCTGCGTGTGTGCGCTACTTTTGCTTCTTTTACACATATCTATATACGCTCATTATGGATTTCCAGAATCGAGTTGGCAGCAAGATCCGTGGTGGTGGTGTGGCAGGATGGTCTGAATCCAACGTTGATCGACGTGAACGACTACGCAAATTGGCCTTGGAGACGATTGACATTTCCAAAGATCCTTACTTCATGAAGAACCACCTTGGCTCGTACGAATGTAAACTCTGTTTGACGCTGCATACGACCGAAGGCTCCTATCTTGCGCATACTCAGGGTAAAAAGCATCAGACCAACCTTGCTCGTCGTGCTGCAAGAGAAGCAAAAGAATCAGCCGCTGTACAGCCAGCAGTGGGCCCAGCAAAGCCTACCGTGCAACGACGTACTGTCATCAAGATTGGCCGTCCTGGTTATCGCATCACCAAGGTGCGTGATCCTGTCACTCGTCAACAAGGTCTTCTCTTCCAAATCCAATACCCACAGATTGCAAACGATGTGATCCCACGCCATCGATTCATGTCTGCCTATGAACAAAAGGTGGAACCTCCCAACAAGGATTATCAATATCTATTGGTGGCAGCAGAACCATACGAGACAGTCGCCTTTAAGATCCAAAGTAGAGAAATCGATCGTGCACCTGGCAAGTTTTGGACACATTGGGATCAAGATTCTAGGCAGTTTTCCTTGCAATTCCTCTATTCATCCGCTTAAATACATTTCCACATTCACACACGCACACACATCCACACACATCCACATACGACGACGACGCACCCTCTCTTATTCTTGTCAATATCTATTCACGCATGGCTACAATAAATGTTCTCTTACAGCATCATAGTGTATAAGGTGTTTATTGTATAATAATAATACTACTACTACTACTAGTTGGGAAGTGGAAGGGGAAAATCCCACATTATTATTGTATTCAAGTACTTGTACTAGTTCCCTTTTCTTGATCAAGCTCGTATTCAACTTGCTCATGCTTATGCTTGGCAGCAGCAGCATTGTATTCTTGGGCCTGCTCTGCAGTACGTCCAATGCTATCCTCTTGCACATCGGTGTCATTTTGCTTGCGATGGAAGATCCAAACCAAGATACTGCAACAGAAAGCAGCACCTGAAATACCCGTGTACATCCATGTCAGCTTGGGATCAACAGCAACGGACACCAAGGCAAAGCCCAAAAGGGCGGCGACACAATTTGTGAAGAGGAAGAGCGACATGACAATGGCCTTCATGGATTCAGGTGCCTTTTTGTATGCATACTCCATGCCAGTGATCAATGTAAAGATTTCAGATAATGCAACAAAGCAGTAAGATGGGATTTGATAAGCGGCCGAAATGTAGTTCTTGCCACCTGCATCACTTGGATGATCATAATAGGGTGGTGTGCTGTAAATCTTTGCTTGGATACCAGCCGTGTAGGCCATGGCAACGGACCCGAAAAAGAAACCCAAAGAGATACGTGTGATAGGTCGCATGTTGAATCCAAATCGGCGTAACGTTGGGTAGATCACCCGGTCAAAGATAGGAATCATGCAAATCTTTTACAAGCCAAAAGTGTTAGTATCTCGATGTATCCATAGGATGATAAAAGCGTCTTACTAAAAGAGAGAATAAAATGAGTATTGGATGTCACGATCATGATTGTCACTTACCCAAGAACAATGGATCAATGTTATTCTATGACGATCAAAAGAAAACGACGTGTGTGAGTAATAAAGGTTTCATTGTTGGAATGGTTGCCTTTTTTTCATTTACCATGATATCATTGGGGACGTTGCCGGTCCACATGGTAGCAGCCTGAGAAAGCAAATTGTTGCTGATTTGCAAATAGCAAAGCCAGTAGATGGGATACCAGCAAAACACAACACAAGCTCGCAAGGTACGCTTGAATTCATCAACAAAGACATCGTCCCATGTGGCCTTGGATGCAATTTCAGGATGGGATATGGCAAGTTTGGATGGCTTGCAAGCATCCATCTTGTCCAAATTGGGGAAGAAGCCGTTTATCTTTGTATGATACCAAATCACCTTGCCAGCTTCAAGGACCACCGAACCCCGTGGGGGAGATTGAACGTATCGCTTACGTCCAAGAACCACAATCAAGATACCAGGGATGAACATACATGTTGGCAACAAGAAAGCAGCCCAAAAACCAATGTTCTTTTCCATTTCGGTAGTGGCAATGGCTGAAATACCTCCAACGTTGGTGGCCTATTAGTAACGAAAAAAGATGTCAACGCCATTTGAAAGTATTAATCAATGTTGCATTTACCCAGTAAAACATGTTGAAAATACGTTGATACGTGGCCTGTGGTGAGACAATGACACGTTCACCCTTCTTGGTTGTGATCACATAGGGCTTTTTGTCTTGGTATTGCTCTGCAACAAGAGGAGAGACATTGGCTTTGATACCACCCGTGCCCATACCGATAACGATAATGGCAACAACAAAGCCTGGGAATGCGCTGCCAGAGGAAATTGCAGAAGGAATAGCCGTCAATGTCAAAATAAGCAAGCCAACAAAGTACATGCAGCCATAAAGAATAATGGCATTGATTTTGCCCAAGTACTGATCAGCAATAACACCACCAATAATCTACATGGCCGACACGTTAGTAAATAGGGTTCACACACACACACACCTTATGAAAACCTTACGGGGGTGATATAACACCAAAATCTGTACAACACATTAGAAGCTACTTTCAGGGATTTGTCCTTTCTCGGAGATACTCACTGGAAAAAGGTATTCAAAGCCGTTGCCGTTTGTTGACCACGCCCCATAGCACCAGGCTGTTCAGCGGGATCTGTAAGAATGTTGTTGTTGAGTGACCTTGTTATTGTTGTCAATAGCCAAGTATATAGGATCGCTTACATTCACCAGGATCAGGGAACTGAACATAGTTTTGGAAAGGACCAGAGATACCATAATACGTGAAACGCTCACAAAATTCAATGACAATGACGAGGAACGCAGCCCATGGAATGGTACCAGGGACTTCTCGTAATGTTTTCCAATCTTCTTCAGTAGGTGGAGTGCGTTCGAGGTCGTCTTGTTGAACGACATCCTGCGAAACAACTACGTCGTCTTCTTTTTTTGTTGCATCGGCCATTGTGCTTGGCTGTGCGTGCTGTAAAATGGGATGGTATGCTCTCGCGTCAAAAGAGGAGGGAAAGAAAACAAGTAATACAACCACCCACGTATATATAGATTCAAATGTGTGTGTATGTGTGTGTTGACGAGCACCATTCTGGTGATGCGGTGATCCGTCAAATAATCAGCTGGTAACCCAAGATCAATCCTTTATTTGTGGAACCCTCCTACCGTAGAACAAGTTTATCCTAAATCAGAAAATGAAACCTGGTACCCTTGTGTTCTCCGCTGTATGCAAAAGGACAATGACACCAAAATGCCTCAATATAAAGAAAGCCATATTCGCATGCACCATGCAGTACAATCAACCAAAGAAACACACACATCTGCTACCTGAGCCACAGCAGGTGCCGTGTTGTACATTTTATTGGATCCTTAACACATGCAAGAATAAACGCATGCTTCTTCTTGTATTAGATGATTGTGTACCTTGGAATCACGATGCGATAGGAAGCAAATTTGGGTACCAAAGATTGCCGCAGCTGCTTATTTTCATATTATCTGGATCCTCTTTTTCTTTGAAAAAGGATCATTAACAAAGGGCACGTGGATCGTGTGAAAAAGGTGCCTTTCACATTATACCCAAATGTGCTTGTTAGATGGAAAGCAAATTTAGTAAAAAGTTCCCAAAGGGTATACACACATGCTTTTATTCTGTAGAGGCCTCTCTCTCTCTCTCTGTATCAAGGCTAATCACTCTGCCTCTCCATCGCATCACGGACATGTTGATGCGCTTGTGAGCAAAGTCATTGAAGCAATTTCATGGGCCATGAAAGCATCATGTCATGATCGATCTATGTGTGGTGGTGATTGTTGTTGGGCACATGTCAAATAACGCAACCGAGCTAGTGGTTGGCATCAGGGTCATCATGGATTTCAAAAAAGTGGATCGAGGATTTTGAATATGGGTACACAACAACAGCGACCCTTAGCGACCCTTTTTCCGTAGCTCGGTATTCGGCTGCAGAAGTCGTGTTTTAAAATGACTACAAATTGCTTCATGCAATTTCTTGGTACTGACGCTGCACAGTGTACCAGCCTCATTGTAAAATTATTACTGCTGCGCCAAGGTAGGTTTCCTTTGTTCATCAAGGCGCAGTATGTTATGCATGATTCCACGTTCCCATGGACTCCTCTTTTGATCGAGCTTGGTTGACCCCATGCATTACCTAATCAACTTTTGGTTGCTTGAACCATAACATTGGGCCCAAACCCATAAAGGAAAAAACATATACTTTGGGTGCACACATGCAAAAATATCATAACTCGGTACCATGACCCAAGTCATTTCTCTTTTTTATCCCTTCTTTCATTTCCATGCTTAGGCTTATACCGGGCATCGTGCTACTGTGGACATGGCTTAGGCGTCGTGTTCACCCTACCTGGATTTAGATAGGGACGTCTCATCGTCATGTTGAGCAGCAATCCATGATTGATGGCTTCCTCCATCCATGTATCAGCTTCTTGTTATTCTACCCCGCAACGTTACAAAGCGGGACATTCAACATAACAAGGTTAAAACACCCTATTGATCACCATTTTAAAATGCCTATAAACAGCGAATGACAAATGTCTCGTGTGTAAGTTGTAGGACGATGATTGCCATAATCGAGCACTTGTATCACTAGGATCGTGTCGCGCAACCCGGTCATGTTCGCACGCATCCCATCCGTTCATAACTTTAGAATGACATTGGGCTGTCAAAGATCGTTCACTGCAAACCATGTCAATAGCTAAGCTATCGGTGGTGGCAATGATTGATTGATTTGATCCATGCCTACTGCAATCTAATCTTCATCATGAATTGAAGGTCTATTGTTGTTATCACGACTCGCTGCTCAGCTCTCTTCTATCATGTAGTAGTGAGTAATTCATAAGCTCAGACCGTGGGAATACATTCAAATCGACGTTTGCATCTTTTCTTTTTTTTTCTCCAAAAGACTACAACACCCCAAAACCAATTAGTACTTGTAATACGATTGTATCTTGCACATTAGCTATCTGCCATTGTTCAATGGCAATAAACGACAACGTTTATGGTGATCGTAGTGGTATTGTTGTCGTGATGCTGTTTAGTATTATGCATACCATAACAGGTGTTGTAAGATGGATCAAAATCAATCCTTTATGTCGGGGACACGTTCGCCTTTATCTATACGCTGAACGAGTGACCATATAAAGGGATATAGAATCACACGCCAAGTACAGCCCTTTAATCCTTGCTATCGCAAAAGGGATAGACGATCAACATGGACACCATAGATCACGTGACCACCACCAAAAAGAAAGCAACAAAACAAGAAGCTCAAACCTCTTTAGAGGCAAGAGACACGCTCCTAGGTGGGCTCGAACCACCAACCTCCTGATTAACAGTCAGACGCGCTAGCCAATTGCGCCATAAGAGCGTTTTCCTTCTTAATTTTTTGATTTGGAGAATGCACATTATTCCGTCAGCTTCCTAAAAAGGCAAGTCCAAGAAATGCATATCATAGTGTGGCGGAAGTAGCAAGGATATGGATTATAAAGAGGTGATGTTTTTATGGGAGGTAGATCGCGAGCAATTTGAGAGGGAACAATTTCATTGTGCGGAGAGAATGGGCCATTGCAAGGCGTTGCAATGCACAATCAGCTGAACTTGCGTCTCCGACTTTGTCGTTTTTCACTTTCCTTCCTCTTGTAACACTGTATGTTCACCTTCTCCCTCCTACGTTCTCTGCATTTGCACTCGCATTCGAATGGCAATGGTCACTTGTCCAAGATTGGCCTATTTCTTACTTCATTCCAAGTGCTTTGAAAGCATACCATGGATTGCAAGCCATTGACTCTACTACAGCACACCCTTCCACCTTCTGCCACGACCAGACGATTCAGCAATGCTCACAAAGCCGTCAACGTACAGCTATTTCATTCAATACTGGAAGTTTTATACAACAGCAGTTTACTCTATCATCGAGCGTCATTTCATGTGGTTATCAATATGGATCATCCTTCCACAAGATACGCGATACATCGACTCTAAGCACAACAACGAACGATCAGTTATTCTTGAGCTTCGTGATCTTGCACAGTAATGGTCAACAGCACAATCACCTTTTTTCCTTACCAAAACTGTCAATGATCTCAAGCATGGCAGTCTACTCATTATAGCCATGGAACATACCAGCATTGTTAAACATCATCTCAACAAGTAAGTATTCGCTTTATATACGTTCGCGTGTATTCACATCTAACATTGCATGATGCATTAGGAGTATGATGAGGCCTTCATGCTGTGCATTCAAAACGCTGAAGAGAACAACGCCCTATGGATCATCTAGTTTCGTTCCAGTTTCTTCAACTTCGGTCCAACCTGTGCTGTCTCGTGTAGTGATGAGAAACCCTGGAACGTTGCTTTTGTTACTTGTGGCGTTATCAGCAGCAAACGATGGTGGATCATATCACATACATACTACTGAGGGTGATGATGGATTGGATGGAATTGGCAAAATGGCTGACGTCTTTGACCAAAGAAGATGTCTCACAGCTCTGGATGATGTTGGGATACTCGGATCAATGCATGCAGCATCTATTTTGCAATCATGGATCAAGAATGTTTACGGCGACAGCAACCAAAAACTTGAACCCTGTTGCCTCTATGTGATTCACCCGTACCTTATTCAATTTACAATGCTGTTCCTTTATCATACCTACCTTTTGATAAACACCAACACCACCATGTGCTGTTCTTCTACTTTTTTCATCGAATGGAAATTGGATTCAACATAATGCTTAGAAGGGGATCGTGCTATCAGCTCATATATGGAAGATGTGGATCACTTGCTTGGCTTTTGGACTAAAGTGGGGAAATAGAAACTTGATGTTGGGAAAGTGATTGGGTCATTTACAATAATGTTGTGAGGTGCTTTTGTTCTTTCTCACATTATGTATTGCATTCGTTAAAGCTTCCTAGTTTACATGCTGATAGACGAAAGGTGGTGGCAATTCTCGGGAACGCTGGTATTGCAAAGATAAGCAATTCGAGAGTGATGATGCACAACATGGTTCTTGTTACAGAAGCTTGGTTCATTGTATGCTTAACTCATTGTTGTGTTCAAGCAAGAGTGAGCTATGATACAATGTGGCAGGAGTAGTACAAGAACATGCTATGCTTGATTATGACTACAACTTTCAGCCAAAGCTATGTTACGCGACCTTATATAAGAACGAGCCATTTCATACGGGCTGTCATAGATAGATCTCGCTACAGGTATATACCATGATCCGTCTATGATAACCCGGATGAACCTCGTTTCAGGTTTACGATGGTATGGCTAATAGGCCAAAATGATAAGTGAATCCAAGAGTATATCTTGTGTAATTGTATGAGAGTGGTAATGACGTTGCTTGTCTCAAGCTGTTGTTGATGATATTTGCTGTATGTCAGGTTTCCATGGCGATCATTATACAACAAGCATTTGGTCGCCACCACCAATATGTGTGTACACGATCACAACAATGCACTACGTACGTGATCCAGACGTTTTCGATGGCGAAGTCATCCATAGCTGTGATATTCATGGTATAACTGTGGCCCCAAAAATAAGTATCTAGGTAGCCCACAAAGACCATTTGGCATTGGGTTTTATTGTAAAAGCAGTAGCTGCTATGGGAATCATATCAAATGGGTTATCCTATTGCTCGGCAGCAGTACTTGATCCGGCTTATGGGTGCACAGGCACCAAGAACAATGGGGATCAGGTAAGCAAAGCGTAGGGTAGGGAATCCATGAGATTGTACTGATCCATGTCTTCTTTTTTTATCGTATTCCCTTGTCTTCACGGCGATCTCGACGATCTCGATCTCTGTTCAGGAGATTAGATTGGGAGATCGTGTGCTCATTGTGTCAAAGTAAGAGAAAAGATCGTCTTCAAGGGAGGCATACATGATCTTTACGCGTTGCAATCAACTTTATTACTTATTCCCCCAAGATAGAACATTAAAGTTGACCAGATCCATAGATACAAATGGTCAACACGCGTAGAGAATGACCCATAACAATACAGCATACAGTGTAAAGTACAGGGTTTTAGTTTAGCATCCAAGAGGATGTTTAGTGCTCATACTAAAGAGCAAGTGGGTAGTCATTATGTGTTATTATCATTTGCTTTTGAATATTTTTGGAGGGGCGGCAAGCAGAACTTGTTGGTATAACGCAACACTCCAACAGCCTGAAGCCTTAACCCTCCTTATGGGAAAACCACCATCACTTCCGCGTAAGATCAGGTGGGAAAAAACCCTTCTTATCACTTAACCTCGATCCCCTTCCCGAAAAGAGAGAAAGAAGCGTACCGGGGAAACGAGAAAAAAGGCGCTCCTTTTATAGCCGAGAGGGGAACGCGTAATTATTTCAGACCCAGCGTGACTTTTTTACGGATACCGCAGCAGCGCGTTATACAGGCTAATTGCTGCCTAAAGATGCCGTTCTTTTTTGCAAAAGTGGGCAAGTGGGGATGGGGAAACACAATTGTGTTGTCATGACAATCATGCAGTTGAAGTCTCCCTCTGTAACACCAATCCATGTATCCCCGATGCGGAGGGACGTGCACCGCGCATGTACTACTACACTAACCAGCAGCTGCTATGTCCGCCACACGTTATCCATCCATACGACTCCACTGCACACTTCATATCACATTTATTGAACCAGAAGAAAGAGATAGATAGAGAAGTATGGAATAGCAATTCTCTCCAATGTTTTATATCATGGATTGACCCCATATTCATACGTATTGTCAATGTGCCTGCATCACGAAGCTTGTGAGTGAATTAAAATGCGAAACCGAAAGGGGGCCACCACCGACTCAGCCTTGCACCTTTGACACACGCGATGCCATGAGCAACACCACCAGAGGACTGCCACCCATCAAAGACATACACAACACACACGAGCTTTGACAGTGACCAGCACCCTGTGATGCACAAAGGTACACTGCAGCAATGGTCGCCTTGAAAAGTTAGCTTCCTTTGATCGTCCACCCATTTTCCATATGACGGTTATCGTCAAGGCCAAGGTACATTACGCATCGACCAACTTGGCAACGACTGAGAACGCTTACGAGGTATTATTAATAGGCGAGGCTTGTTGACTGGGTATATAGGACTATCTAGTCTTCTCCACTACTATCATATTATCCCACCATTTGTAAGGATTATCTACAAGCAAAAATACAATGTTCATATGATGCAACAAACGAAGAATACGTGAACGGTTTGATGGAATGATTGTGGATGGAAAGTGTGATGGTGGATCATAAGGGATCAGGCCTATTATTCCATGTGAATGATGATGAGTATACTATGTGGGATCATCATGTACTTGTTGGAAATGAGGATTGGATACTGGATATGATTGAGGATGTGCTGTTGGTCATCAAGGACGTGTGCTGCATTCATGCTGTCATCTGGCAAGGGAGGTCAATTATCGATGCTCTTTGACGAGGCTCAGACTTGATCCTGCTATTATGAATCATTTTATTTCACCAATGTCTTTCATCTATGATACCTCTCTTTATTGTTTGCACTTTCAAAAGATCAAGTTGATGCGATTATTAAGGAGGAAGGGGGATAGTCGTTTGTATCTCGCGAAACATAGCTCATGAATGCATGAGTCATTGATCCATTGTTATCCTGCTCTCATTGTCGTGGTCGTCATTGTGGTATTTGAACCTTTGTATTGTAAACATCTAAGTCTGAGAATGAAACGTGCCACGCAGCTGCTTGTTGACTGGAGGATTGTTGTCAATGAGCATGAGGATATAACATACGGCCAGCAATGCTTCTTGGGAATACAACATCGGTGTGTAAGGCAATAACGAGCAAAAGCATACATTAACTGGGTGTAATTTCATCCCATCTCAAGCAGAACAAAGATAAATCCAACCATCCTCAACCTATGCACGTGATTAGATGGATCGAACTAACACAGAGGCTCGTTACATACCAGCTTCCTTACCAATGAAGATGCCATCGACTTTACGAACGCGCGCTTATACAAACGCCTTATTTTGTGGTATATGAAGTCACCAAATGATACATGGCAGATAGGATGTCTTTGTTTGATGATGGATTTTGGCACCTTGTTTATCTCAAATCGTGATTCATGCAACGACAATGAATCACAACTAAACTCTTTGTGAAGCCGTCCCATCAATCTATCATCTCATCACCATTCCCATCACGCTTTTGTCAGTTTTTGTGGTCACAGAAATACCCACGCCCACCGTGCACATATAAACCAGGGATGTTGTCGCCTACGATCATACTCCCATACGCCTCTTTTTCTTCCTCCATCATACCTCTCTTTTGATTGCTGACACCTTCAAGCCCCAAGTTGATGTGATTATCATGATGGTTGATGCTCTTATTTTGTGACCGATCCATGACTCATTTGTGATGGTCTTTAGCTTTCCATTGTTATCCTATTTTCATTATCATGGCTGCCATTGTGATGCTTAGCTCTTTTATTAAGGTAAAGCCTGATAATCTTGCTCGATGATGCACATGCTCACATTCCCTTTGATGTAGCTACCTCCTGCGATACATATGCAAATCTGGATTAGGTGGCACACCACAGCCCATTTGGAGGTGACATAACGGCTTCCAACAACTTCATCTACGAATGCAGGAAAGCCGTTCACCTCAAGAATTGTGGAAGCTCCGGTCGAAACAAGTTTCAAGAGATGATCATACTCGTCCTTTTGAGTATCCAAGGTGTTCTTTAGCACCTCTATCAGATGAAGTTGATTGCCGCTACACTTTTGTAGTGCTTCAATGCTAGGCCATAGAGTCGTTACATTGTGCGATCATGGTTAAACGGTGTGTTGAGCAAAGTTGTGGGTTGCGTTGTCAAGAATATTATGCCGAGAGCGACAAATGGATTCAATGGGTGAATTTTACTGCAATCATTCAAGCTCGATTCGCAAACGATATAGCAACTGGTGGCCCATGAATGGCATGGATATGAAAAACAACCCTCGACCTTGCTTGTTCTTTCGACCGCAATAGACACCTGGCCAATGGCATAAAATGGTGATAACGCTGATTACGAGTTGGTCTGAGACAATGGCCTTGGACATAAGATCCGTACCAGGTCGAATTGAAAAAGGGGAGAGACATTGATGAAACTGAGGAGAAAACGAAGCGAAAACCAAGCGCAATCAGAGAGAAGTGAGGTTGATGTTCCCGCTTAATTTCCAGCTTTTCCACTCGCAATGTCATGATTGACATGTGTCCTCGTGATTCCTTGTTGACATATACATTCATATCGTCTTTCTTTGCCTTATTGCTTCATTCTCGTATATATTCGTTATCCTTTTAGTATCATTGACATTCCTCATTACACATATATATACCTAGCTTTCATTCAGCAATAAACCATTAGTCAGTTATCTCATCTGCTTTGCTATTTCATTAGCTTCTGCTTATCTTCCATATCCATTTCCTGGCTCATCTTAGCAGTAGGGGATTCAAAATAGGGGACGGCAGCTCCACGACTTGGAAACAACGCTTCTCTTCTCTTTCTCCCACCTCTGCTTTTATACCCAATCACGACATTTTATTGCGTTCAAGGTATTGTATTATCAAAGAGTGCTCTTGTTGGCTGTGAGGTATTAATGTAGTTCTGAACATGCATTGCCAGGGAGTGAGTGTGTGTCCAAATGCTGAGGAATGAGCGTAGTTGCCATGGCGATATCGTTGCTTCCTATTGTTCGTTGCTGTTCCCCACTCTACGCTTGCTGTCAACAGGTACATTCATAGCCCAATGTTGCAGCTGAACTGGTTCCATTGACGTGTTAGCTTGTATAGAGGGCGAGTTTAGTCTCACGACGTTGGGCTGGTTTGGCGTTTTGTTTCGGCTCGACTATACTACACCATGGTTTTCAGCTTCCAACAAGCAACAACAAAGGGGTTCTTGTGTATATGGAAAAGGCAAGTACAAGGAAACAAACAATGAAAAGGGTGTTTATTGTGTGTGTGCTAATAATGAATTGAATAGGTTTCTTTGGTCAGGCAATGCAACTTGGGGCATCATCATCATCTCTTTGGGTTCAAGTTCCAGCCTGCATCAAGTGGCCGCTGCGTCGCTCTGCACTAGCCAACTGTGCTGGAAAAGCTTCTTGGAACGCGTCCAGGGCTCTATAGGCCTGCGTTTGAGTTGATGGGTCGATGACGATGGGTTTTTGGAAGAGCATGGTCACCGTGTTGAGGTAAAAGGGGATTTGCAACAGCTTGACATCAGTGCAAACCAACACGCTCTTCTCGTGATAGGCTCGTTCTTTCCCTTGAGGATTTCTTTTCATGAGGTGGGAAATGATTGGAAGGATTGGGGATCATTCTTTCTTTGGGGAGGATGAATGAGGACAACTATGAGCCTGGACTCTACGTAAGTGAGTCCTTCCTTGCCATGGATCGAACTGGCCTTGCGTGATTCGTGCAGTGCTTTCTCAAGAACAAGTGATCGCCCGACGTTGCTTGTATGGTTGTGATTTGGTTTGTGAATCCCTTCTGATTTGATTTCTTCCTTAGAGAGGGCCTAGCGGTATACCAAATCGTCATCATTCCGGTACCAGATGGTCTAACTTGCCTGCTTTCTTATTTGTAGAGACGACGATTACGATGATTACCACATTCACGACAATGACGATTACGATGATCACCCCATCCACAACAATGACAATGATGACGACAACGAGATTCAAAAGGAAGCCTGCAAGATCCCATTCTCTTCAACTTGTGTATTTTTGGATGTTGGTGTGACGGATGAGATTGACGACTGGTGACGAGTACGAGTATGTAGGAATGATGACGGAGGACGACTACGACAATGGTGGTGGCAATGTACAGTAGCAAGATAGCTAGATGAAACAAAGCATTGTTTATTTATTACACGCTTGTTGGAGGTTGCTAGCTTGTGGATTACATACTATTGCTTCGAAGATGGAATAATAAAGGTGGTTCGGTTACTGTATCGGTCATGCAAGAAGTATATGGCTTTTGCGACGCGATAAGGAGGAGTGGGAAGTGGGATGAGCTTGAGAAGAGAAAAAGTGAAGAGATCCCTCCATTGAGTTTCAGGATGGATGACCCATTCAATATGTATACGTATGTTTTTACATATACAAATTGGTTTATGCAGCTCGACCTTCTCCTACATGCAAATGTGATACATACCTTGACACACCTTCATGGTTGGATGCTGTTTTACTTACGTACCTTCACAAAAGGCAATCATCATCATCATCCATTTGTGTAGCAACCTGTCAAGGACGCGTTTGTGTAACCACCACGTGCGGTTTCACTCAGTTCTTCATCTTTCCGTTAATGCAGCCGACACCATCCATTAGGAAAAAGCAACTCCATCACGCTTACAGCATAGGTAAAACATAAAGACGCCTGTATCTCCAAACTTTACAATGAAACGTGGGGTTTTTATTAGAGCAATGGGCTCGGCTTGGCCAACTGCACCTTGTGTGCAAGTTTTACGTTCATCGTGGCCAATCCCAGATTTCGCAATGTCGCTACCAGCCAAACTGGATCTGGAGGTCGACCTCTTCGACGACGACGACCAAAAAATATTTTTTGGGCTGTTTGCGACATTGAACGCGAAACTTTCACACAAGGTGCAGTTGGCCAAGCCGAGCCCATTGCTCTAATAAAAACCCCACGTTTCATTGTAAAGTTTGGAGATACAGGCACCTTTATGTTTGTAAGCGTGAAGCTATATGAAGAGTGGTCTTTGTTTAACGTAAAGTAGTATGACTATGATATAGCAAAAGATGCAGAGGGCGTGTTTGTGTAACTTGAGTCATTCAGCACAGGCGATGCATGATTCTTGTACACTATTTAGGAATAGTTCAAAATGCCAGCTAATAACCTTAGTCCTCCCATTCTCCATTGTTGTCCAATCCAATGCATACGAACGATTGTCCTGCTCCAGCCCAGCATGCTCATCATTCAACTTTCTTGACCCGGGGGGATTTGACTGAAAAACGCTCAAACACAGAAACATCATCCAATATCAGAAGAATCAAATTGGTAAGTTATTTGTAAACTGCCGGCTAATAGCCCATTCCTCCCATTCATCTTTGTTGCCCAATCCAATGCATGTGAACGATTGTCCTGCTCCAGCCCATCATCTCCATCATTCAACTTTCTTGATCCGAGAGGATTTGGTTGAGTTACGCTCACACACAGAAGTATCATCCAAAATCAGAGAAATTAATTTGAATGATTATATGTAAACTGCTTGTTGCCCAATCCAATGCATTTGAACAATTGTCCTGCTTCAGCTCATCATGTCCATCCTTCAACTTTTCTTGATCCGAGAGAATTTGAGTGAGCAACGCTTCAAACAAAGAAATATGATTCAACATCAGTTCAAGTCATTTTAATTTCCACTTCTTTCACTCCCTCCTCATCTTCTCGTCCTCCCATTCTCAACTGCTGCCCCATTCAAGTACAACTACCACTTGCGAACGATTGTCCTACTTCAACCCACCATGTCATTCCTACAACTCTCTTGATCTGATTGCCTTCGACTGAATGGCAAGTTCATGGCGTATACACAGCCTTCTTGTCATTCTTCTACAACACACGAGTCTCTTGGCGCAACACACGCTCTTGGACATTCCTCTGCTACAACCAGTCATAATAGCGTTCATTGCAGCAGTTCTTATTAGCGAGGTCTTTACTCCATTGTCTCAAGTTACTTGCAACAGCTTGTTTTACAGCCTTTTCCCGTGAACAGCAGATAGCCATTGTATAGAAGCAGCTTTATTTACGCGTAGCAACTTGCTTTCAATACAAGCGTCTTCTTATGGATATGGATATGGATTATGGATATTGGGTTGGTACATGATGGGATGGAAGGTATTGTTGGCGTGGAAAGTGAACTGTTGTTCTTAAGTGTCCTTTGTCAACTTGAACTTGATGCTATCATCCTGACGATTGGTGTATTAATTCGTGGCAGCTGTTATCATCATCCAACTTCATGTTTTACATGCCATGGGCATACTTCGCCACATCCGCCGATTCACCTTTGCACAATGCACGCTCGAAGAATGATAGAACCCTCCTATATCGATGTATCTTCCCCATTGTAGCGATTCAAATGTACCTCTCAATCTATCCCTTGTAAATGATGTTGAATTAAAGGGTTGCTTTGACGAATACGACATCGCGTTGATCAACCATTTCTAAGTTGCTATAAGACCTTCCTATTTCCAGAGGTGGGACCTCGTCGTGTGTGGGCACTCGATGCATTGTATTATAAGTGTAACCACTTGTAAATGCTGTGATAAAGGAAAAAGAGAGGAAGAGGAAGGGTCTGTCTGATTGATTGTATCTTGTACAAAGGCTGTATTCAATGATGGGAATCAACTGTGGTTAGACTTTGTCAATGACACCGCAACACACGTTACTGTTTTGTGCTTTGGATATTGTAAGATACATACTTCATTAGTATACAGCGGGAGATGTGGATCATCATTATTGGTAGTAGATAGCACAATGGGAATAGGATAACAATGAAGCATCATGATGAATGACCACAACAAAGATCAGCTATAATCCGCAGAGCCGAACAAGACCTGCCACCACATCTCGTATAAAAGTTTGGGTGATCGATCAAAGACATATTGATGGAGGAAAGAGAAGTGCTTTTATTCCATGTATTTGGGCTTGTGGATTTTTGTGCACACAAAGAGGAGAAAAGATTGGTATCCTCGGACCCTTTTACAAGTCAAAGTCTAGGTGATAACGTCGGCAGCTACTCTTATGACATGCGTATATAAAAAGAGGCCTTTTGTGATTGTCAGCGCTTGTGGGAGGGAAGGGGCACGTGCTCGTATCTGCGATGAGCTGGGTTTGGATAAGAAAAACGAGAGAGAGGTCTTCCCTTTGACAGCTCTTGCTCTTGACCTTCAGCATTGAGTTACTTGAAACGGACATTCAGCAGTGCCGCGATCCTACGCATGCCCAAACAAACGCAATCATTTTATGCTGTCCGGCAAGGACGTCGACCTGGAGTCTACCGTTCATGGGCTGCATGCAAGGCACAAGTCGAAGGATTCCCCAACGCCATTTATAAAAAGTTCCCAACCCATGAAGAGGCCGAGGCTTTTACCAAAGAAAAAAGTGGTTTGAAGCGTGCAACAACATCCCATCAGAGGAGCAATATACCACCTACGGTATCATCATCATCATCATCACCACAGCAACGAGTAACCACGACAACGACAAAAAAGACGCCACCCAGTGTGTTGGATGATTCACCCACGGATGGACGACATATTGTATATACCGATGGTGCATCGTCAGGCAATGGATATCATGGTGCAAAGGCTGGCTATGGTGTATTTTGGGGTGATAATGATCCTCGCAATCAAGGTGGCCCATTACCTGGTGACAGACAAACCAACCAACGTGCTGAATTGTATGCAATGATCCGTGCCATGGAGCAAGACATCAAAGGGGAAAACATTCTTGAAATACGTACCGATTCCCAATACAGCATTAACTGCGTGGAGACATGGAGCAAATCATGGATAAAGAATGGATGGAAGAGTTCCAAAGGAACACCTGTCGAGAATGCGGATCTTGTCAAAAAGTTGTTGGCGTTACGGAAATCACGGCCTGGCAAGATTGAATTCTCTTATGTGCCTGGTCATCGTGGTGTGTATGGTAATGAAATGGCAGATCAATTGGCTGTACAAGGAGCAAAAAGCATTGCATAATGTATATATAGTCATCTACGTCCCCCACTATGCATTAAAGTACATATACAAATAATCAGTTCTTTTTATTATTCTATTTACAAATGATGGTGGTTGGTGTCGAGCACACCATTTTCTTCTTGACGTGCTTTGTAATGGATTTCGGAACAATCTCTCAACCTTGATGCTGCTTGTTCAGGAGTAATGTCACGTTGTGGTTCACCTAGCATTTCAAAACTAGGCAAGAAATATGAGTCTATGGAGTCACAGTGGGATGTAGATGATGATGATACTTACCCAACAAGGAATTTACGAACAGTAGCACTTCGAAGCAAGGGAGGATAGAAATGTAAATGCAAATGAGCATAGTCGTAATCATCGCCGATGGGTGCTTGGTGGATACCCATAGAGTAAGGGAATGAGCATTCAAAAAGGTTGTCATAGCGACACGTGATGCGTCTCAAGGCGTCTGCAAGGTCATGTCGATGTTGATCCGAAAATTCTTTCAAGCTGGAGAGATGATGCTTGGGGAGTAACAATGTCTCGAAAGGCCACAATGCCCAGAAAGGCACCACGCATACAAAAGAGTCGTTTTCAAATACAACACGATCACTGTGCTTGAGCTCACGTTGGGCGTATTGACAAAGAAGACACTTGCCATCATGAGTATCACGATAGGCTTGGAGAGAATCAAGCTCCGTTTGTGGCTCCTCAGGGACTTGTTCAGTGCACCACATTTGGCCATGGGGATGAGGGTTCGAACATCCCATAGCTGCGCCCTTGTTTTCAAAAATCTGCACGTGCTTGATGTAATCCTTCTCTGCCATGGCCTTGTAACTGCTCGTCCATTGCTTGACAACTTGCTCAATCTCCTCAACCGTCATCTCAGCCATGGTCAGATCGTGGCGTGGCGAAAAGCACATGACATGGCATTCACCCCGTACCCCTTGTGTGCGAATGAGATCATCGTCATCCTCTGTGGTATCAGCAAGAACGGGTTGGTCGGATTTGACAGCAGCAAAGTCGTTGGGGAAAACAAAAGTGGAGTCATATTTGGGGTTGCAGTCGCCGTTGGCACGTTGGTTGCCTGGACACAAGTAACATGTGGCATCATACTCGGGACGCTTTTCGATTTGCGCACTCTCACGATGTCCCTGCCAAGGACGCTGTGTACGGTGAGGCGAACAAAGCACCCATGATCGGGTCAATGGATTGTATCGGCGATGTGAATGGTTCTTAAAGTCGAATGTACCAGTAGTAGACATAATGGTTTAAGGAAATAAAAAAAGGGGGATGATGGATTAAATGACAGATTTTGGTCCCTTGATGATGATGCTGTTATATATATGAGTTACGCTAGTTATTCCGCGGTACTACAAGGCTTATGTAATTCGTCGGGGTTCGTCATTATTCCGATCGATTATGTAAACCGTCGATAAGTCAACAATAGCTTACGCATTGAATCACCGATACACTAATTTGTGTTTATCAGGGACCAGATTAACCTTGCATGATGTCGTCAACAATAATAATGGGATGGGTGTTATAGATGTTGTCATCAAGGACAATATGATACAATGGGTGTTGGATAAAAAAGCACATGGCAACAAAGGATACTGCTAGTAGTGGCATTCTCCATCAAAGCCTAATACGTGTAGCAGATGATGATGATTACCCCCGATATCGAGTATAGCAACAAGAATGGGTTTTATTATGAAATTGCTCAAATAAAGGACCGTTGTTAACCCAAGCAATCACCCCAATTGAAGCTCATCATTGTCAAGGACTCTCTCAATGTAGCGTATGTGACACTCCATACAAGGAGCGGCTCGCTAATAGTAGTCGTCATCAGTTACCGATCCTTAGGCTGCCGCATGTGACCATAGGAATTTCAATTACGATCGGGTTATGCAATCTGAGCAGTTTATAGGAGATAAGGACTTGGATGTATCGTATTGTTGGTGTCCAAGTACCACCAAGATGGATTGATGACGCATTGACTTTGTCCACGTGAGCATTTTACCTCCAAAAAGCAAAATTTTGATCACCTAGAAACCCGTCATCTCGTTAGTGTCAATCCTCAAACTTGGCTTTCGCTACCCACAAATCTTAGTATAGCCCATTCTTTAGGAGCCGTATTGGATGTGCATATTTATTGCGGTTTTGACCGATCATCAAGCTTTGTATGCATGTATCTTCATGGTCATGCTACCTATATGCACGCAGTTGTAGTAGTGGCTCATCATGATCACCGTCAGGTTGTTCTTTGATGGATGTTTTGGACCTTTTTAAGGGACTGCTTAACAATCGACGGCCGATTTGACCTAAATCCCATGCATCTTATTATGGATCTGATTGGCTCTCCTCATGTCAATGATAGAACTAGATAGTAGGCAACATCCATTTTGTGTGAGGTATCGGAGCACGATAACCGACGATGCAAGCTCTTATGATTGCATGTCGATCCATAATAGGAATAGAGACTTGGTCCATTACCACTAGCTATCATGGATGCAATTATTACGAAAAAGCGATGATACACATTGACAACGATAACGACACGTTGACCTGTTGTAGCAGTACTAGTGGTCACTAGGATTCGCAAAACATGATCTTTAGAGCAACAACGAAAGCACCCAATGCAACAAATGTCAATCATTGTACACGTTTTCAAGTGCCCAAGGTCATGCTTATCTTCGGAACGCTACCCGCGGTCCATCATTGTGTATCGTTAATACATGCTAATTATCATCCAATTATATCCTTGTATTTGGTACCAAAGTATTGGGCCCGACATCGAGATGAGCATCATGATGGGCATGCGCTGAAAAGTGACAATAAGCAGATTCGATGAGCACTTTGTTTTCGTATAAGCACGTGATGATGATGATGCTTGATGTTACCATTAGATTTTACTACTTGACATGGTTCTTTTATTTTGGACCTATTCTTTTAAAGAACGAATCACATTGTGCAGGTGAGGAAAAACGTTGCCAAGCGATGCATCATGCATTTCGTTGCTTGCATCGAGAAAAAGGTGTGCATGGTAACCCAAAGTAAGGGTATACACACTTTATAGTTATGCTGATTTCAACCAATGAGAACGGGTGGTGTCACGCTGCTAGGTTGATTTATATACTTGCATGCTGCTGCATCTCCCACGCCAATGTCCGATCCAAGACTGTGGTTGTACATGTAACAATTTTATTCAAGACTCGACTATTACTACTATCAGCCCATCAACATGGCAATCACTAACAATGCCAATGGAAGCAAAACACCGGGTCGTCCTGCTAATGCTACAGCACCTCCTTCGTTGTTAGGTTCAGTGGATGATTCAGCTGCTGGTGAAGAAGAAGAAGAGGGATTCTCGCTCGGGACCTCGGAGCCAGATGGAGCAGCTGTCGTGGAGGTTGCAGAAGCTGATGGTTCGACAGTAGAAGATGATGATGATGGGCCACCAGATGAAGCCACTGCTGATGTTGAAGATCCTCCTCCTCCAACGACTGAACTATATTCATCACTGCACACGGCTACTGTTTGGTCTGGGCAACAGGGGTCTTGAACTTGCACACAAGCATCCTTGCATCGTTCTGGGCATGGTGCTGCTGCTGAATTTCCATCCGAGCTAGGACATACCACGGCAGCGCAAACCGTACCACTAGGGCCACTCAAAGGTACACTTGTAGGCTCGATGGCAACCACTGCCATGGCAACAGCAGTAAGCGTAACCAATGTCAAAAGTAGGGTATTCAATGAATTGTTCATTTGTAAAAGATGCATAGTGAATAGAAAGGAGAAGAAAAAGAAGCGTTTCTCTTTTGTCAGAACGAAAATGGCAATTTTATACCTCTTTGTGTGGTTGTTGTGTGACACTATACTTACTCATTGATTGTTACATAGGACTAACCACCACCAAGTCCCATCTCATTGTCCTACTTTGCTTGATTCAGCTTTTTGTCGCAATGCCTTTTTTTATCTTTTCCATGTTCAAATAGTAGGGATGTGTGTTTAAGGATAAAAAAATGACGTTGTGGATACGAAGATTGGGGAGAGATGAGTGAGGGAAATGAGTGGTGTGGTTGTTTCATACTCAGCAGGTGAACGCTTGTAATTCATGCGCATTTCGTCCCAAACTCTTTCTTGCCCACACATACAAGAAAATGGATTCTCACGATGATGTCGACTTACAACACTCTTTGACACATCCACGCAATGTACGTCGCTCAAGTGAACCAGAAACAAGTTTATCGAGATACAACAGACACCAAACTCCTTCTACATCACCACCACCTACACGCGTTCCGTTACCATTGCCTTATTCACCAAGCGATTATGAACCTTCTCCCAGCAGTCCTCGCCATCATTACCTTTCATTGGATCGCACCTTTTGGCAACGCAAACTCTTTGACAATGCCTCTTCCAATACACGAGAACGTAGTCGATCGCTGGATAGTCATTCGCAATTCGCCTTGTTACCACCTTCGGGCGTGGATACTGCAGCTGCTTCTACCAACACATTGTCCTCCTCCTCCTCCTCCTCCGACAATTGGGCTGTTGAAGCCGTTCGTTCATTTGAACTTGTTCCCTATCGAGAATGGACCGTCATCTCGTAAGATTGGGGGAGGTGCCATTAGAAAGCAAAAGGGCTCACTCACTCACGTAATATGTGTGTATCCCATAGACGCAATAACACGAGTGGACAAGTGGTATTATACAACCGAGAAAGTCGCTTGGTGACAGTGCGTCGTCAAATGCCTCCCGAGGATCCTATGGCAACAGCAGCAACAGCAGCAGCTACCACGACTACGCACCCTCCTAATGGTAGTCCAATACAGGTAGGATGACGATGACAACAACAAGGAGACCATTCGAGTTCGAGTCATTAAAACCCATGCATTTTACAGCTTGGCGAATGTCCCACATGTCATCGACCCTTCTCTCCTCCTACTGCTCGATCGAAACATGATGTAAGTCATTGGAGATATAGATAATGACATGCTTGGTGGCTGACCATCGTGTTGGTTTAAAGACAGGAGAGCCTGAATTCATGGATCGAAACTACTTTCGACTTTTGGCATCGACACCTACTCAGTTGAGTGATGATGATTTGGGCAAAGTCATACTCGATCCACTAATAACGTTGGGAATAGATCACCGCACACGACGCGTGGAAGCATACCATCTTCTTTTGGGAACAATATCCATCTCAACGTCAATGCATTCAATGAAGGCTATTATGAAAAGTTCTTTGTCGAAAAGAAAAAGCTAGGTCGTGGCTTTCGTGGCAGTGTATTTCTCTGTGAAGTAAGTATAGTACACATGTTACACCCATTGCAAGGGTTCATTGACTTTGGCTATCTTAGCACGAATTGGATGGAGTACGGCTAGGGAAATATGCTGTCAAAAAAGTAGCAGTGGGTAAGTCGCAGGATCATTCATTCTCCTTGGATACAAGCACCTTATTGAACTTTAATGGCATCTATTGTTATTTTAGGAAACAATCATCCTTGGTTGGTCAAAATGCTACGAGAAGTGCATCTATTGGAGCGTTTGCGACATCCCAACATTGTTAGCTATAAACATGCTTGGCTGGAGTATAGTCAGCCCTCTCCTTTCGGTAAGTTGTTATCAACCAGCAGCAGGTTGTTTTGGAATCAAGAGCTTACCATGTTGTATACGCACTAGGGCCCAAGATTCCATGCTTATTCATTCTTATGGTAGTATAACTCAAGGTGCCTATGAAATGTTTATTGACTAACTTGGGTTTATAAACAGGAATGTGCCAATGGGGGTAATTTGGAAGAGTACATGGAACCTGAACACGTGCCTGCGACGAAGCCTTTTGTTCAACAAGCTGACAACAAAAAATCGGCATCACAGCTTAAACGAGAAAGGATTCGACGACAACAGCAACAAAGCACCCAGGAACATACAACGACATCGACGCCATCCACCTATAAGCGATTGCTTAGCATGCCTGAGATATGGTCATTATTCTTGGATATCGTTGAAGGATTGGCCCATTTACACCAGCAGAATATTGTACATCGAGACTTGAAGCCACCGAATCTTCTTTTGAAATGGGATACACGGCATCGAGATCGAGACCAGCCCAATGAATGGCGGGCCGCATTTGATCATCCTGGAATGTAGGTTGTTGTTCTTCTACACGTGATCCATCCATCCAATTTTAACGCATAAGAATGTTGTCAAAATAGACCTCGGGTGCTTATTTCCGATTTTGGAGAATGCGAAGATCTCGAAAGTGTACCAGATCAAGATCGCACTGGGGCAACTGGCACCATGGAGTTCATGGCACCCGAGCATGTTGAAATGGATCCTCGCGGTAGACATCTTGTGGAATATTCACCCAAAGCTGACATGTGGTCGCTTGGCATGGTGCTGTATTATCTATGCTACACGAAGCTCCCTTATACCAATGTTGATGATATTGATCTATTGCGAGAGGAAATATTGGCCTTCCGAGAGTAAGTTCCCCTTCATGGTTGGAGTGTTTATGGTATGTGCTTAACCTTACATTATGCTTTAGTGTCGAATTTCCAAAGAGTCGATTTGACATATACAATGATTATGATGAGACCATGATGAACCCAGGAGATTTGGAAACGTTACGGCATCAAGATGTTTCAGCTGATATACCACATGAATTGAAGCGGTTGATTCGCAGATTACTTTCGGTTGATCCAGAAAAACGACCCTCTTGTCAAGAAATCCTCTCACGTATTGCCAATCTCAGGCCATCCAATTCTTCTTCGTCTTCGATTGGGTTGCAAGATATACCACCCGTCAATCACTCACCCTCCCCCGCCATCGATCATCATCATCATCATCGTCATCCTAATGTATGGGGTCCTCCTGAATATATGGTCTCCACCAACAACATGGTGTCCAATGAGCCATCCGTATTGGATTATGGTAGCAGCAAAATCGAACCCTTAGCAATGGATGAAGATAGACCATTGAGTGCCGATGATCCACCTCCACCACCACCACAACCACCTCGTTCTCAAAATGATGATAGAATGGATATTGATGATGATGAGGATGATAATAATGATGATGACCCAACATCTGCAAACAACACAAACCATTATCCTGGACGACGAGGTGGTATCAAAAAGAGACGAATGAGCAATGACCATCAACAATCAACAACACCTCTTTTACTCGGTGCGAATGATCCAACGAGTTCGAGCAAAATGTCAATTGATAATACTGGTCCAGTGCATAAAGGGGATTCCATCTTGGTGGCAGTCAAGACAGCGACAGCCATCTTTAAGGTATGATACTCAACAATAACGAGCTTGAGCCGGGCGCTGTTATTGATTCTTTTTTAAAAAAAGGTCGCCTCTTGTACTTATCCATGTCATCCATATGCACCTATTCCGGTGGTACTTTATCCCATTATTCTTATGGCATTACTTGATTTCTGGAGGTACGTATGAATTAAGGAATTGAAGGCAATAGCATGTGTTTAAACTTGGGCTTCCATAGTGAGAGCGTGTCACATAGCCTTATTTTAATGATGATGCACGTTGTTTGGATATTTGGCATGGTTACATTGTATGGGGGCATGTGCGTTACATAGCAATAAACGATACGATACCATTTGCGCCTATGATGGATGATGTGGGTAGTAAAAGGAGGGTAGATAGTGCCTGGTGGTCATGTGATCAACGGAGATTGTTCCGCTTGCAACACCGAGAGAGGAAAGGAAATCTTGCTTCTTCTTTTACTGCGAAAGGCAACCAACACACACACACACACACGCCACTATGGTACGGTAAACGATCTTGACGCTCTGAATTCAGTTCCATTGTAACGCGATCTATTAGACGGAAGCTTTTTCCAAGGGCAACCTTAAATCTCAGATAAAACAGCTTTCAACACAAGTAAGTAGCAGTAGTGATCGATCTCGTTCTTCTCTGCGATCAGTGTTACTCAACCATGCCTACCTAGCTCGGCGAATCTCCTGCCAAGGAATCAGCCACAGACAACAATGGTGCCAATTTGACCGAAGAAGAAAAGGAAAAGCTCAAGCAACAACTCGACGCAGTGCGAAAAAAGAAGCTCACGACTAAAATGGTACATAGCAGCATTATCTTGTTCAACCCTATCATTCCCCCCCAATTAACCATGGCTGTAGTTTCACGTGACCAAGGCCTTGAGAAGCAATGTCAAGAAATGCAAAGCAATGGAGATACAAAAGCAATTGAGGAAGCTCAAGGAAGCTCGTAAAGCTTTGGAAGAGTAGGTGATCCATTCATGTGTTGCTAGGATACATGTTCTCACTCTCGAATTACGAGCAGATCCAACAATGAGAAGGAGACGACAAAGAAACATACACCATCACCTGAAGATATCCCCAAATATGAAAAAGAACTTGATATATTAAAGGTAAAATGGAGAATGAGAAGGCTTTTTATATACTCAATGGGGTAATTGGATTAGGAACTTGACGTGGAGGCATTTGCTGAAAAGACGCTGAGGAACAAGATGTTGAAGCACAAAGAGTTGAAGCGGATTCCACTTGTTATCGATGTATTGAATGAATCAGCCCCTACTACCACCTCTGATACAGCTACTACAGAAGAAGAAAAGACGATGCATTCAGCTATTGATGGTCGGATACTACGCCACAAGTCTGTACAGGAATTGATTTCCACGCAACTCGACGAATTGCAGAACATCTTTTTACCAACGCATCAACAAAAGCAAACAAAGCGTGAATCCAATAATAAGGACCATAAGAATCGACCCAACAAAAAGATCAAGACCAGCAAAGATTCAGTATTTACAGCATCGTCTATGTTTGTTGACTCTTTGGGTGGTGATGACGATGACGACAATGAGGATAATGAACACCATGACAATGCACGATCGAAAAAGATGTCTGACAACTGGGTGGACAAAGATTTTGACAAGTTTTACAATGGTGAAAAGAAAAAGAATCGTCCTGGTCAACGACAACGACGACAGTAAGTGGACATCCTCCTACTATTCACCATGTTGATAGATTAACGAACTCGTTGATGTATTAGGGAATGGGAAAAGAAATACGGCAAGGATGCTAAGCATGTGAGGCAAGCACGTGATGAACGGATTCAGAATCGTATAGCAAAAGGAAAGCCTGCATTCAAGCCAAAGGGTAACGAAGGATCCGGCAACAGCAACAACAACAATAAGAAGGATTCTGGATTGCTCAAGCCTGAAGAATTCCATCCATCATGGCAAGCAAAACGACAAGAACAAATGATGATTGCTTCAGCATTGAGTGGAAAGGGCAATGCCAATAACAAGATTGTGTTTGATGATAGTGAATAAATGCGCAAGCTTTTTTTAAAACACACTCTAAGGAAGGAAGTGGGAGGATGAAATTGAGAAATGGATTGCATGCTACGATGAGATTAAACCTTGGCAGTGAGTGATTGACCAATGCGGAATTTAAGTACGAGCACAATCATGGCACTGATGATGCTAGCAAGGCCATAAAACAGCTTGTAAGTTAAGAAAGGTTCACCATCACTACGAGCTTCGATTGCACTTGCAATAGTGGGACCAAAAATAGCAGGGCAATTTAAAAGCATGATCAATGTATAGCCTGCAGAGTAATTCTCTAGCCCAAATAACTTGACAGCAATCGGTCCTTCTATAAAAGTAGTAGTAGAATGCTTATTAGTACGCATTTGTTTGGGAGGGCATCATGACTTACGCAACGCATTGTATACGCCTCCAAAGAATCCAAAAAGTGAAGCAAACACTAGCAATGAAAAATAATTGCGAGCCAGTGTCCAGACAACAATGGAGGCAATCCCACTCAAAAACATGAATATAAAGCAGGTGTTGATGTTTCCAATGCTATCTGCAAGGTACCTTGATACCATGACTATGTTAGATATTGTTGACGAGAAAGGTATACTATGCCACATATGTACCCAGCATAAATGCGCCCGACAACGCTGATCAAAGATGCAATGGAGATCACTGCAGAGCCTTGGAAGGGTGATAGACCGATATAGGTTGCATAAGCTAAAACACAGGGGGTGTTAGTGGTGTTTGGTTGTACTGTTTGGATTGCATCAACAACACTTGCATGGCAAAAACGTAAACGGGACATAATTTGACAACACTTGAAAGAATCCGACAGCACACCAGATGATGACATTGACATCTCGCAATAGCCCCAATCGAATGATTTCGTCAAGGGCGACTCGTTTTCGTGGCGTAGGAGACCTTCTTTTGCGAATCACGCTACACACAACGATGTTGATAGCGATAAATGATATGCTCAAGCATCGCAATGCCCTATATGATCGTAGTATGTTGTTGTGAGATTGTGTGAAAAAAACATGTGGTCATCTTTTTCTTTTTACCATGTAGCTCCAAGAAGGTCATTAAAGTAGGTCATGACAAAAGGAAAAGCAAAGCCGCCTAATGCTGCACTGCTTACACTGATTCCCATGGCTGTATTAAGTTTACGATCGAACCATTCTGGAACGATTTTCATGGCAATCTAGAATAGAAAATTGAGTATAATCATCATCCTAAGATGTGAAGCACCCTACATACAGAGGTGAAAATGGAGCATCCACAGCCGCAACATAAACCTATCCATAGATACAAATGCCAGATCTATAATGTATGTCGTCGTTTAGTAACCTAGCAACAACAATAATGCCTTTGGATCTTACTTGTGTTGCTGAGCCTGCAAGAAACATGCCGGTGCTGATGAAACAGCTGCCAATGATCAGGCATACTTTGAGCCCGAGTACGCTTTCCAGGAAGGTGGAGATGATCATAAAGGAATAAGTAACAAGCACAAGAAGTGTCCCAACAAAACTGAGCTTGACGGCAACATTGTGCGTGTTGTGAAATACATGTTGCTCATAGTAATCTTGCATCACACCTATGTATTTGCATCATGGTCTTAACAAATGGATGATTCCCCCTCCTCGGTTGATGATTTTGCTACTATGTATACATACCCCTAGAAACGACCCTCTGTTAATTCAAATGCGTTGTAATCATAAAGTAAGGCATCCAATTTACCAGCTAAAAGAAATCCCAGTGGCCTGAAAGTGACATAGGAAAGCACCTGCTGTAATGATCCACCCATAACCACCATCGATCCTTTCATCAAACAAAGACCCTCGTTGTTGCTGTTCCTCTTGGCCAAACTTGAGGATGCCACCCATACTTTTATAATATTTGAATAGCGGCGTACGTTCTTCATGGCTGACGGCGTCTTTGATCATTATTTTTTTGTGATTTTCAAAAGAAGAAAGAGACAACAGCGAAATGCCCTTTAAGATGGGGATCAGCTGCTGCCGGCATGGAGAGAGAGAATAGGTCTTGAAACTGTTTACACGGGCAGATGATACTCCGCATCATCATCATCGTCATCATCCATATCCATCGTCTTCCACATTTATAAAAGGTATGATGACAACGCTGAGTATCATTTGAAATGCAAACAATGATTTCAACAAGGATAGGGGGCTCCACATTGAATGAGCGTGGGTGATGGTGGGACATGCGTACTACATCATATTAGGGTGGATGTCACTTGTCAAAGGTGAAAATCATATCAGGATCACTTATCACGGACATCACATAGATCAAACAGCAATGCTAACTGGCGTTTAATATTTACGGAGGCTACACATGTCAAACACAACAACACAAACATTCCAGAATATTTGGGTAAACAAGAGCAAACCATATTCCTTATCCGACAAGTTGCTTAGCAATGTGTGGAGAACATGTCTTTTGTTGATTGATTGATTGATTGATTTTAATGGGTTGCACTGGAGGAGGAGGATGTTGATCAAAATGTACAAGGGGAATGATTTATGCAAGCGTGCTGTTCATGATGCTGCTGCTACTACTACTGAAGAAGAGGAGGAGGAGGAAGAAGAAGGTTCATATTGTCTTGCCAATCGACGATTCAATGCTGCAGCAATCGAAATGATGGATTGATTCCATTGGTGTTGTAGATATCGTTTCATTGAGCTGTCCTTGTTGTCATAGCGTGATCGATGAAGTTCACTAAGGTAAGCCACAAAGCCCTGAACAATGAATGATTTAGTAAACCATGCGTTGAGGGATACATGCTATATCACACCACATACTTGGTCACGCAACAAGTAAGGCACACCACCCCCGATCTCGAGTCGTTGTCGCATGTGGATAATGTCTTGTCGCCATTGCATCAATTGCCCTGTCATGGTTTCCTTGAATGCCCATTGCAATGTGGTGACACCAAGGACGCTGCCGGATAAACCAAGGCAAAATGATATCAATGTCATACCCTGAGCGCTGCCATAGAAGCGCGCCCAGCGATCGTTCATTACAGTAAAGGATAAAGTCGGAAAAGGATGTGGATGAAGAGCAAGATGTATGTACTCAGCGCTACAAAATGTTGTCTCCCACCTTTCCCACCCCTCCCAGTATGTTTTAATCCTCCTGCACCCATCAGATAAAGCCTTTATATGCGATTGTACTTTATTACTTTCTAGTCCCACAAATTCAATCACTCCACACACCCTCATTTTGATCTAAAGCCGTACTTGGTTTCTTCATCCATTGTTACCCTACAAATGACCTAAGCCAATACCATTCCACTTTCAATGATGATGATCACGTGAATGCATCCGAATAGCAGCTCTTGAACGTATCCATCTAACAATAATCCCAATCTCCTCATCAAACGAAACGAGTATGTACATTGAAAAAGTTCGCAGCTCCATTTATTGAACACGTAAATGATTTACTTGCGAGACTATAATAAGAAAGAGAAATGTGTTAGCAATTGAGAAACCCCCTTTCATCCATAAAGACATCTCCATACCTTAATCTTCTTGAGATAGAACTCAAGCTCCTTGCCTTCAAGAATGTAACCATCGGCACGACCACATTGACCAGGGCGAGAAGAGATGACGGCATAAAGACGACCGGCAGCAAATTGATCATCCAAAAGGGTGTCGACAGCACCGTTTTGTTGACGAGCAGCGACCTTCTTTTGGACGCTCTTGGACTTTTGAGCAACGGCAGCAGCGACTTCTTCAGCCTTGGAAGTAGCGAGCTTCTTCTTGCCGAGGGGAAGAGCATAGTGGTTCTCGTACCATTGACGGAAAGGAGTGGCATCAATTTGGACAACAGCGTTCTTGACAAGAGTGTTGGTACGGACCAACTCGTTGTTGGAGGCGTTGTAGACGACAGTCAAGATACGAGTCTTGCGAGTGACACCCTCAGAGCCCCAAGAGTAGTTGCCAGACTCCAAACGAAGAGCACGGAACTTGGAGTTACCACCACGAGTGCGCACAGTGTGGACACGCTTGGCACCAAGCTTGGTCATGGCAGCAGGACGACCCAACTCGAACCTAGAATTCATATCCATAAGTCTCCCCATTATGCACTATGCGATCCTTCCATTGTTGACATTTACTTTCTCTTTTTGCGGTAGGGAGTGCGCTTAGCACCCGTTTTGCTGCAAGAATGGGCGACATGGTCAGTATACACACACATGTTTCAATGAGAGAGGCGAGTTCTCCACAATGCACTTACGAGCACTTGCTCAATGAAGATCGGCTGATACCTGATAACAACGATACGATGGATTAGCAAGATGTTGGATGGATGAATTCCATGATGGATGGATGTTCTACTTACCCATACTGGTCTATGGTGGTCAGGAAAGAAGGATCCCTTGTATGCCAAAGACATTGGCCTATCATTGCCCGGCGTAGCTGGCAGCTCCGAATTTCCTTAATTGAACCACCACACTTCCCCCCACCTTTATTACATGCACCTCATTCTTGATTCTCTATTCCACGTTGTAAATATAGCAACTATAAGAATAAAAAACTTGCACTTGAGATGCCTTGTAATGCGTTTACATCCATGATTTTTTTGTACAGGGGCTTTGAATGGCGCATGTTAGTAAGCTGAGCTGCACTTCTGGTGGGACGATCGATCGAAGAAGCTGTTGCTCTTTCCTTTACCCCTCTATTACAACACAAACCCTCACATCGCCACTCACTTTGAGATTTCCAAACAATACGCATCATATAGCATTGTATGTCCATAGAGTAATAGACGCCGCTTTTTTAACAAGGTACTCCGTTGGCCCCTTTTATCATTATCATCACCATCATGCTTCCCAACAAAAGGAAAATGCCATTGCTCGATAATGATACATATAGAGGTGTGTGGTCAAAAACCGCACAAAGGCTGAATCTAGATAACGGTTAACATGGATGTGCTAAGGAAAGCAATGTTTTGTGTTGGCTGGAAGTGATGCTATGGAAATGTAGGTTGATGATCTGAGCAGAATGACCATGTTAGGGTATCGCTGTATCACATGACGTGGTTTAATCACCATGAAGGTTTCATCCGCACCATGACATTGCAGCAGGTACGCATTACGGATATCCATCGATGCATACACACAATACCGTATCCACCAACTAATGCCATATACCACCCTGATTGTTGATGCTCACATGCCTACGTGTGCATACTTATTACATCCAACATGAAAAAAGTAACTTGGCAAATACAATAGTAAATGATGGTATTTTTATTGTTGAGATTGTCTGATAGCTGGAAGGATCTTGTATTCGATCACGTTTTGGACTTCGTCGGGAACCTCTCCTTCTGGGCACACGTCGACGAGGGAGGCGGCAAAAGTAGTATAGAAAGGACGCAATTGGTCGGTGTTGGAGGCTTGACACACATACCCTCCGTCACGTTGTACTATCTCATCAGCAGCAAGGTAAGTCATAAAAACATCTACCCCAGCATCTCGAAGCTGCTGGACATGATGGGAAATCGTGTCCTCTGAGACGTTTGACTTGTAATGCACTCTAATTTCGAAAGGAGCTATTGCTTGTTGTTAACTAGTCCAAAGTTTGTGTGCCAACATTTACAACAGCAACGCTATACCTGACATGACGAAGCAGTGATAAAAGTGATCAAGGGAATGAGGAAAATGGAAAAAGGCATCATCAATCGTCGCCTTTTTATATTTTATGCAAGCGTGTGTGTGTAATGCAAAGCCGAGTGAGCTGGGAAATTACGTTACCATCAAGCCTAACGGGTAACAAGGCCGAGAGTGGATTCATAACAAGAACGCAAAAAGTGAACACAGCATAGGAGCATACGTAATGGCGATGTCAATGCACACTATGTGGCACAGCATACCTCCTTCCGGAAAGATGGCACCTCCGCTTTATGCCAAGCCTTAATTGGTCATCTTTCCGAAGTCATTCATAGAGCAGAGGTGGCGTCATGTGAGGAGGTTAAACTTTATTCTTGTAGCAATCCCAGTGAATGGTTTCAAGCACTATAGGCGTATGCTAAAACAACATCATCGTGTAATCCATGAAGAATACTACATGAGCGATAAGGGATATGTACACAAAATGACATTTTCAAGCTGCTGTGTTATCCCGATAATAACAAAGTGTAATGAAATGAGTGAGGATCGTGCATACCAGGGGTTGAATTTGATGTTCCTGACACGCGGGCCATCATTGTGCCTCGTTGAAAAGACACGTTGAAAGCTGATGAATAATGGATTTATGTAAAACCTTTCATGGTTTAAGAGAATCAATCATAGCGATCATAAAGGATTAAAAGGATAGCGGAGTTATTGAAGGGAGATACATACGACGCGAAGCTTTCATTCACTTGGGATGATAATGATGGAGGTGCCGGGTGCGGTGTTGTGTGGGAGAAAGCCAAAGCTCGTCTGATGCTTACATTGTTGGGGTATCTCATTTGTCGATGAGAGCGTTACGCCTTGAAGGGTAATCACGGCTCGATCCATCACTTAAGAAAATCTCATACAAGGATGGATCTTACCATACCTCAAAAATGAGGCATTATCATTACGAAGATGGCATCTTCTCATGCCGAGCATCGAATGATCCTTCTTTTTTAAACCACTCGCTTGTTGTATTGTGTATTTCCCTTCTTGTATACTATTTATCAACATGCTCACTTTCCGGGTTTCCAGGAAGTATGCATGACACACAACAGCAGTAGCGGATGATGTTTGCTAAATATGACAGTAAAAGCAGGTGCTGCTCAAATGCATCAAAAAGGAAATCAAATGTTATCACAGGAAGCAAACCTTTGCATGCCGTGGAATACAAGTATGCTACACAACTACGCGTGTGAAATTAAGCCGTACTAGGACATGCGTCCCGCTTAAAAGATAACGTATTTTTGTACTTGATCTTGTATAGCTACACAGCTTCTTGATAGCTTGTAAGCCAAATGAACAGGGATTGAATCTGAACCTAGTAAGTAGCAGCTGACAAGTCGATGTCTGATAATGCGATGTGTATCGGGTGCAATGGCATAGATTTAAAAACTGTTTGATAGGGAGAATGGCCATGTTAGGGGATCGCTGAATCACATGACGTGGCTAATCGCCATCAAGGTTTCATGCTCAGCATGACATTGCAGCAGGTACAGATTACGGATATCCACCGATGCATACACACAATACCGTATCCACCAACCAATGCCATCTCCCACCACCGTGGTTGTGAATGCTCACATACGTGTGCGTTGATATTACACCCAAACATGAAAAAAGTAACTTCTTGGCAAATACAATAGTAAATGACGCATGTGGCACCATGATGATGTTTTTATTGTTGAGATTGTTCGATAGCTGGAACGATCTGGTTCTCAATCACCTCTTGGATTTCAGGGGCAAGCCGTCCTTCTGGGCGCACCTCGACGAGAGAAGCGGCAAAGGTAGTATAGAAAGGATGCAATTGACGGGTGTCGTTGACGTGACACGTATACCCTCCTTCATATGCTGCTATCTCATCAGCAGAAAGGAAAATCTTTAAAACACCTACTCCGGCACCTTGAAGCTGATGGATATGATGGGAAATCGTTTCCTCTGAGACGTTTGATTTGTAAAACACTCTGATTGTGGAAGGAGCTATTGATTGTTGTTAATTAGTCCAAAGCCTGGGTGCCAATATTTACAACAGCAACGCTATACCTGACATGACGGAGCAGTGATAAAAGTGATCAATGGAATGAGAACTATGGAAAAAGGCATCATTAATCGTCGCCTTTTTATATTTTATGCAAGCGTGTGTGTGTAATGCAAAGCCGAGTGAGCTGGGAAATTGCGTTGCCATCAAGCCTAACGGGTAACAAGGCCGAGAGTGGGTTCGTAACAAGAACGCAAAAAGTGAACACAACATAGGAGCATACGTAACGGCGATGCCAATGCACACTACGTGGCACAGCATACCTCCTCCCAAAAGATGTCATCTCCGCATTATGCCAATCCTTAACGGCCACCTTCCCGAAGTCATTCATAGAGCATAGCTAGCGTCATGTGAAGAGGCTCAACTTTATTCTTGTGGCAATTCTGGTGAATGGTATCAAGCAATAAAGATGTATGCTAAAACAACATCAACGTGTATTCCATGGATAATACCTACATGAATGATAATAGATCTATGAACAAATGGACGCCCTTCAAGCTGATGCTGTGACATCCGATAGTAACAAAGTGTAATGAAATGAGTGATGATCATGCACACCGGGGGTTGAATTTGATGTTCCTGAAATGCGGGCCATCTTTGTGCCTCGTTAAAAAGACACGTTGAAAGATGATGAATAACGGATTTATGTAAAACCTTTCATGGTTTAAGAGAATCAACCTTTGCGATGATAAAGGATCAAAAGGATAGTAGAGTTGCTGAAGGGGCATACATACAATGCGAAGCTTTTGTTACTTGGCGCGATAACGGCACTAGAAGAAGTAGTAGCTGAGGACGGTGTTGTATATGCGAAACATCAAAGTCCTCCTGATGCATGCACTGAGTATGGAAACCTAGGTAGTTTTCTGCATCATCCATGGTACCATAAGTATACGCCTTGAAGAGTGATCAAGGCTCGACCCATCACTTAAGAAAATCCCAAACAAGGATGGATCTCACTTTTCCTCAAAGATGAAGCATTATTACGAAGGTGGCATCTTCTGCTCATGCCAAGCATCGAATGATCCTTCATTTAAAATCACTCGTTTTTATTTCCCTTCTTGTATACTACCTACCAACATGTTCGCTTTTTGGATTTCCAGAAAGCATGCAAATGGTACACAGCAGTAACGGATGATGATGCCTGTTATGGTACCCAAAGCAAGATCCATTCAAAACCACCAAAAAGGCATGCCGTGAAACACAAGGTGCACGATAGCGGTAATACGCGTGTGAAATTAAGCCGACTAGCTGCTCAAAAGCTAACGATGTTTGTACCTCCTGATCTATATAGCTACACAGTCTCTTGATAGCTTAGCAGTCGAATGGACTAAAAATGGATCTGAATCTAGGGAGTAGCAGCTGATAAGACGATGTTTGATAAAGCAAGGTGTATTGGGTGTTATGCTATGAAATCAGAAAACGCTTGATGAGGAGGATGGCCATGCTTGGGAATCGCTGGATCACATGACATGGTTGACAGCCATCAGGTTTCATGCTCAGCATGACATTGTAGCAGGTACAGCTCTTACCCACCAATGCATACATACATCTTCTACCGTGGTTTTGAATACTCACATACGTGTGCGTTTACAATACATCCAAACGTGAAAAAAGTAACTTGGCAAATAACACATGTGACATGATGAAGTTTTTATTGATGTTGTGCGATCGCATGGGTGATGTTACTTTGAATCACACCCAAGGCTTCTTGGGGAACCGGTCCTTGTGGGATGACCTTGGCGAGAAAAGAGGCAAAGGAGGTATAGAAAGGACGCAATTCGTGGATGCTGTTGATTTGACAGACATAACCTCTTTCATTTTCTGGTATATGCTCCTCGATAAAGTAATTTTCTGAAATCAATGCTCCTTCATTTTGAAGCTGTTGGACATGCGCGGAAATCGTTTCGTTTGGAACGTTTGGCTTGTAAAACGCTCTGATAAAGAAAGGACCTATCGATTTTTTGTTGCTTAGTTCAAGGTCTGGGTGGTGCCCACACATTTGTGACAGCAGTGCTATACCTGATGACATGGTGAATGGAATGAGAACTATGGAAAAAAAGCAGTATCAATCATCACCCTTTTATATTTTATGCAAGCGTGTGAGCTGAGTGAGATGGGAAATTACGTCGCCATCAAGCCTAACTTGGAACAAGCCCGTGAGTGGATCCATAAACAAGAATGCAAAGAATGAACACAGCATATGAGTATATAACGTAACGGCAAGGTCAATGCACACTTGTCCTCCTCCTGAATAGGAAGGCAACCTCCGCTTATGCCAAAGTCATTCACAAGCATCATAGCAGCTAGTAACGTCATGTTAGGAAGTTCAACTCTTTAGTCTTGTGGCAATCCCGATGAATGGTTTCAAGCTATAGAGACGTATGCTAAAACAACATCACCATGTAGCCTATACGCAAAATGACCTAGCTTCAGCTGCTGTGTCACCCCGATAGCGATCATCATGCCGAGCATTGTTGTTGATGCTTTTGAAACGCGGGCAATCTTTGTGTCTCGTTGAGAAGACGTCATAAAAGCTGATGAAATGATAAATAGAATAGCATTCATGCTTTGACGGGATCGACTTTGGTGGTTAGTAATGGATCAGATGGATAGTTGAAGAGTCTACAAGTCGCATGCAGTGCTAAGATTTCGTTCACTTGGCGTGACAACATCCGTGACAGCAGGCTGTAGGATTATTGTGTTAAAGAAAACAACCCTCATCGTATTGCAAATCATCTCGACATGATCGAGTTTCAATCGCACTCGTTGTTATTACACCGGTCTTTGAGGTGGTATCAGGGATGGTTGCTATGTCATATTATAGGATTGGCAACAAGCGTCGACGTATCTTGGATGATCTTGTATGTATTGGTAGCGGCATCATTTTGATTTCGGGATACATAATGCCTTGATTTATGGGTGTCACCTTCACAATGCCAAGATAATAGAAGCGTTTTTGACCCAGCATGATGTAGCAATAATAGTAATGAAAGCTATCAAAAAAGTCAAATAGCAAAGGAGACGTGCATTTGCTGCTGTGCAAAAGTTGAGTGCATTGATGAGAGCGTACATGCTAAACGGGGAATAAAACCAAGATGGCTTCATAAAAGGGATATGGAGGTATACGTAGCTTATACGTCAATGCATGAAGTTGCTATCCGGGGTAGGGAATACGCCGTTTCTTCATGCTGTAACAGATATCGAATGGGGTGACCTAAAAACTATCCCAACCCATAAACCAGTATAGAGTCCATGCCTTTTTCTGGCTTATCATGTTAATAGCCCACTTTCTATAACAAAACAGTCTCAAATCATAATAATGTCAAGGTTTTTTATGGATGACAAAGAGCTCTATAGTAAGGCCATCTATGTTGTACCTGCAGCAGTGAACACAAATCCCGATCGACGTCCAAAACTTGATTCTCCGGCTTCACATCTTTAGCTTGTACCATGTCTTCACGCGCACTACGACGACTCCAAAAGAAACAGGAGCTCGAGGAATTGGAAGGATCCGACGAATCCGATCAGGAAATTACAACTGCTCCTCAACAAAACCTCTTCGATTTGGTACTTGATCTTGTCGATAGCTTGCAACAACCCACTTTGTTCTAATGCTTGCCGCAGCTCAATGAAGGAAATGACGACGACAACGACGACGAAGAGGCCCAGGAATCAGCCCCAGAAGAAGAACCAGCTGTAAGCCCTCCTCGTGTTGCTAGTGTAAGAGCATGCATAACAAAAGCTACCTGTTCTTTTATGGCTGATCCCTATTATCATAGCCACCACCACCATCCAACAAGACAAAAAGCAACAACAAAAAGAAGAACAAGAAGAAGAACAAGAAGGGCAAGGCAAAGGTCACTGATGTATCAGAGATGACCATGGAAGAATTGGATCAAGCACTTAAAGAGGTGGCAGGTGACAGGTAAAAGATACAAGAGGTGGGTATGTAATGGGATGTTTTGACGCTAACACCCTTTCATTTCAGTTCTACGGCAGCAGCAGCAACAGCTGATGATAATTTGGAGAAGAACACGCATGAACGTCGTGAATTCTTATCGGTCAACTATCGACATTTGGATGCTGAAGCCGAGATGAAGCGGATGTTTGGATCGCGTGTCGTCAACAAGGAGAGCAGGACAGCAGGACGTGTGCTTAAGCGTTCCAAAATGACGACTCCCAAGGTGGATTGGCCACCGTACAAGAAGCAAGGTCTTTCGATGGAATTGCTCAAGACCACCAGCAATCAGATATCGTATTTTGCCTTTCAACATGATGATGAATATCAAGATGCCCAACTCGAGTTTTTGAATGGTGTGGCGATGCATGATCCCAATGCTTTGATGGCTTTATTGGCACGTCATCCTTATCACATTGATTGCTTGTTGCAAGTATCTGAAATGGCCAAACAAAGTGGTGACTGGAGCGTCGCAGGCGATTTCGTGGAGCGTGCATTGTATGCATGTGAACGCGCTTTCCATCCCCATTTCACATTCAGCTCAGGCACAGCACGTCTTTCTTATCAACGTTCAGAGAATCGTTCCTTTTTCTTGGCCATCTTTCGACACATTCAATTCCTTGCACGTCGTGGTTGTTGGCGAACCGCCTTTGAATTCAACAAGTTGCTCTTTAGGTATATGGGAGGATGAAGATAAAGATGGAGAACCTTGGTGTGTGCTAACAACTACCCTAGTCTAGATCCTGAAGGTGATCCCTTGGGTGCATTGTTGTCGTTGGATTCTTATGCATTGAGTGCACGTGAATATGACTTTGTTGTACGCATGGCAACAACTTGGAAGAATGATGGTACCATGTATCCGGTGGATCTTACCTCCATGCCCAACTTTGCATTCTCAGCCGCTTATGCTCAGTACAAATTGTCATCATCCGGAGAGGAAGAGTTGCAACAGGCTGTCTTAAAGTTCCCCACCGTGTGTTCAAAGATGCTTGAAAAACTTGGTGAACCATTGGATGATGCGTCCTTTATGAAGAGGTACGATAAATGAAAAGGGCCAAGGTGGGATGGATGGGGATGATGCTAATACACATATAGTTTACCTGAGCCATACCTGGAATTGCTAGAGACATTGTTTGTTGAGCGAACACATGAGTTATTCAAGGAGCCTGAGGTATTGGCATGGTTCAAAAAGAATGCATTGGCAGTGTCAAATCAAATCAAAGAGGCAACGCGATCACTGGCATGCGAGCAACATGGCGCTATCCCTCTCAGTGTCTCTCGTCACGTGGTGCTTACCGATATCCAGACGCTTTTGGGCTTTTTACCTTCCTCAGTCACTGGAAGCAGTTATCACATGTATGATCCACTACCACCTTCCGACTCTATTTCAGGATACGATATCAACGATCGGATGCGTTCAGGAAGAGGGGGTGCAGCTGCAGCAGGAGAAGGCAATGGCAACTTTTTCGAAAACATACTAGAGACCCTGTTGGCAGGTCGCCGATTACCAGCACAACGAATGCATGAAATCCGCCAATTGATAGAACGTGAGATGCAACAAGGGGGTCGTTTACCAGGTGCATTTCCCGAAGAAGAGGGTGACGATGATGGTCAACCGTAAGTAGGGGTGAGGGGTTATCCAAACACAAATAGCCATGGATGATCACTGATGGGTGGTATTAATAGAGACATGGATGAGCATTTATTGGGTGCTGTGACACAAGAAGATCTTGAAGTTCAACAACTTTTAGCGGATAATGTAGAACAAGCATTGCAAGAACAGCAACAGCAAGAACAAAGACACCATCAACAACAACAACCCCCTAACCCATAAATCAATAAACGATTCCTACTACTACTACTGCCCATACATGAAAGTGTTTTTTTAATGCCAGGTTGATTTCTTCTATGAATTATTGCTACTCGATGTGGGTCGATCTGATGATGAGGAAGATGATCCATTGCCGGTAGCTCCACTGCCGCCATGCGCTTGCATGAAATCATGATCATTGTTTCTAGAATCGGAGGAGGATGATGCACCACCACCAGCAGCTGAACTTGATCCAGGAGCAATTGCTGTGCTTGTTGTTGTTGTTGGATGACCTTCAGGACATGGTTCTTTGCCTTCTTCTTGTTCTTCTCGGTTCTCGGTCTTTAATACGGTGGTATTGTAGCTCTTGCAATGTTCGCATTTGTGATAGAAAAAGTGGTATTTTGCTCTTGATTTCTTTTCGCAGTCGTTGCAAAATATATAAGAAACGTATTTCTCGTACTCTGGAGGCATGGGTTGACGTTCCAATTCACGATCGAGTCGTTCAAAGTATTCGGACATGTCGCCCAGTGATTTGAGGCATGTTGGGCATTGATAGGAGGTTTGGATGTAGGCTGTGTAACATAGCTTGTGAATACAATGACCACATGGCTATAAAAAAAAAGAGAGAGAATGAGTCATTTCTTGATCTCTCCCAAATGTCACCTCATCCTCCATTACTTACCATGAAAATGACGGTGGTTGTGCTTGTGAACATGTATTCGCCACAAATCGGACAATCACTCTCCAGATTCCGCTCAATGCATCGGTGTCGATCTTTCATGGACATGGACATGCAAATATTGCATTTATGGCAATGGAAGAAATCCTGGCCAAGTCCCTTTCCTTGTCGACATATCCCACAATCGTTGCAATGATAGATCGACTTGTTCTCGTCATCATCCCAGAGTTTGCACTTGTCGCAATAATACGTTGCCACTTGAATTCCACAATTACGGCAATGCTGGCTGGCTGGTTGTCGCTCATTACATTGCATGCATACCATCTCCTTGGTTTCATGTCGAATAATATTGTGATCGCTCACTTCATCGTGACAAAAGCGACAAGGGAATATGACACCACAGCAGTTGGCCACCAATTTCACTTTGCGACGATAATGCTTGCATCCTAAGATACCATTGGCTTCATCCTAAAAATGACATCCACATGTCAATCATCGATCATGGTAATGTATGTATATGCACTTACATGGTAAGAAGGGGTAGCATCGTCTACATTGGGTTTATCTTCCTGTGTATCGCTTGAACCCGCTGACGTTTCCGGTGGTGTGGGTAAAGTGCCATGCGACATCAAGTACTATATATACATACATACAGATCATAAGCAAGCCTGCCATAGAGCTATAGGGTTTAGATATCTACCTGCATCCTTCGAGCCTTCTCTTGCCGATCAATACTAGTATCCCGCTGAATCGCCATAATAAGCTTGCGTAAATCGGCCTCGTTCACTTGCTCTGTGTGTGTCTTCGCATCTGGTTGCTGTCGGGCATGTTCCTCGCCATCCGATAATATTTCTTGGTCATATTGAGCTGTGGTTGCTGTGGTGGTAATTGGGACGTCCTGTTCCATTGCCGAATCGACATCAGACGACTGATCGTAGTTGTTGGCCATTTATATCAAAGACAAGGAGAAGGAGTGGAGTCCATTATCTCTCTTCGGCATTTAAACATTTTGCATCACCACCACCTGAAATCGGATCCCACATCCTTATTAGTGATGATATACATTCCACCCCCCCACCCACAACCCCACTCCACATGGTGTCTTCTACTACTACAGGTGGGAGATCTCAAGTATTGATTTGACAAGATGCGTCGTCATCTGATAATAAAGTGATGGTGACCATGATTACCATGATGGATTGCTTTAGGAGAGGTGGGTGTGTAATTCACATGATACTACTACTACTACTTTTTACTACACAAAGTCGATGGGATTGGTGCATTCCTTTAATGTAATTTGTCATCACCATCATCAATGTAGACAATAGAATAATAAAGTATTTCTTGTTGTTGACTATGAGATTGTGCACGGTGCCTAACGTGATTTAAGGGACTTCTTTGGCTACTACAAGTGTTTGCTTATACGACGTCAGATCACTTGATTCATCCAAAGACAAATCTGCAGGATCACAATGTGGTGCTCAACTGACGTAACACAATCCCCATATCAGCCTATCTTGCGCACAGACCATCCACTCAGCCCACGTATCACTTTATGAGTGCCTATAGTTGTACCTAGTCATTGATTCGCTCTTGCTCGTATTTGTGTGTTTTCAGGGAATAGATTTAATAATTGAGTGCTATTTACAACAAGAGTAGGTGATGGTTGTTTGGCTTTTTACCATCCCTTCCATTTGTTATAGAGACAAAGAAAAAGGTAAATTCAAGGTGCCTTTTTGATACCCAGGATCATTTTCATCCAAAGTTGATTTGGATAAGTCGTTTGTGTGCAAAAGAGAGCAGGAATACGATATGGCTCTATGTCACAAAGGGGGCAACCCAGTTATTGATTCAAGCGATAAGAAGATGTGGGAGCGCTAACATTTGTCGATGTTCAGCTTAGTGGTGCATGTGCTATTGTCACAACAGCATTACTCCATGATAGGATCATATGATACAATGAACTCAATGAACAACAACGACCATTATACATAGTGGGATGAGTGATTGACAATGAATCAAGACATCACATGCGGCTTGCACAAGGTTTAACAATCACAACAAAGTATGTAAATCATGATGGATGAAGAAGCCCTTTTCATTGATGATGTATTAAAGTGGTGTGGGTGTCTAACTATAGCAGCAGTGGCGGGGAGCCATTTTGACATTTGAAAAAAAGATCTTCCGCTACAAGTTGCTGGTTGCTGCTGCTTGACTTTCTTTTCCCTTCTGTATACATAATGGACGTCCTTAAAGCTCTGGTTGCCCGAGTAGCTCGTGCCTTCTATGAACCGAAATACATTGTCATCTTGGACGAATTGAACAATGCACCTCCAAACAGCAATGGGTATTGATTGGCCAAGCTGTGTCCTTTTCTTTTGCTCATCTTTATGTATCTTCAGTGTGCGGGAAGAAGATCTCGTCATGGCCTTGAAAATGGCACCACGCGATGTCCATCGGATATGTGGCAAGTTGAAACAAGATCGACTCTTAAAAATGTTGGTGTTCTCTTTGAGATCAGGGAGAGAGGGAAAGAGCGTGTGTGTGCGTGTGCGTGTGTATGTGTATGCGTGCTTTGGAGACTGACGCTTATGTTGCAAAAAGGGCAACGCGTATGGAGGCGAGAAAACAAGATCAGCGACCCGTTCCAAAGACGTATTACTACCTTGACTACAAGGAATTTGTCGATGTTGTCAAGTGGAAAATGTACAAGATGCAGACAATCGTACGAGATAATCTAAGGACGGTAAGTAGAGGATGATGGTAATGATGATCAGCATGGTATTGAATGAGAGTTTATATAGCAATCAGAAAACAAGGGATATATCTGTCCGAATTGCAGTCGCAAATTCACACCATTGGATGCCATTGCTTTATCAGGAGGAGATGGTCTTTTCCACTGTGACATGTGCAGCAGCGTGTTGGAGGAAAATGACAATGCTGAGAATGTACAAGACAGCCAACAAGTATTGACGCGTTTACAAGAACAATCACAACCTATCATTTCGCTATTGAAGCAAACGGATTCTTTGGTGATTCCAGCAAGGTAACAACAACAGGGGGATGCATAGCAACATGAGAGATCTAACCATGAAATGTATATAGTTACATCTTTAAGCCATCCGCAGCCAGCAAAGGCACCAATGGTCATGCTCGAGGTATACATATACAAACGATCGCTTTCATATACACATACACATGCTCAACCTCTTGATGAATTAGATGACCATGAATTGGCTATTGCTCAGGATACAGGTGCCGGACAAGGTGAAATTATTGTGGATCTTCAAATGGACAATGAAGCAGCACGTCGTCAAAAACAACAAGAAGCCGAAGAGAAACGCCAGCAAAACATGTTACCTGTTTGGCATCAACGTAGTACGGTGTCCGATGCACTTGCTTCGACCTCGGAGGTGGTGGAAGAAAAGAAGAATGAGGATGAAGATGAAATGTTTGAGGAGGTTGCTCAAGAAGAGTTTGATGCGGATCGTCATGATTGTAAGTATCATGTATAGACACACACGTACGCCTTTCTCATTATGTGCTTTTAGATTACGCCAAGTACTATGAATCACTCAGTCAAGCAGCTCCTGCCGCTTTGGATGCATCGGATGCAGAAGAAGAACCAGAATTTGAAACTGTGGAAAACACAGAAGGATCCAACATGTTGGAGGAGAGGTAAAAAAAGGGGAGGAAGGTATTTTGATGAGGGTGCTCATCCATTTGCGATTTCTTTTTATAGAATGGATGGTGAAGAGGAAGAGTTTGAAGATGTGCCACTTGTATCTGGTAAGATAGAGAACGCATTTGGGAAAAAGCAAGAGATACTAAACGCATGGATATAGTGAATGGACGGATGGTACCATTGAATGAGATTATGGAAGAAGATCAAAGGAACATGACTACAGAAGAATACAGGGTATGTGGTTTGACAACTTTTTTTTGTGGGGTATACAACGACAACGACGACTAAGATCCCGGATGATGTAGGCATATTATGAAGCATGGCAAAGCTGGCAATCAAGTTAGTGAATACCCCCCCCCATCCACCACCCTCCAAGAGTGAGTATATATAGAGACTTGACATGCACCGGATGTATGTCCCTCTTTTTTTTTGCGTGTGTGTGTGCGCATTGTCGGATCCAACAGCGCTGGGATAATGCTTTGAGCAATAAACGCTTTCCATCCTTTTATTATGCAACCTAAAGTGCAAAGAAATAATGTTGTCATGGTGATTGTAAAACGTCACAACAAAAGCGTTGTGTATGCAGCAGCAGCGGGGGATGTTCGAGTAGGTGTTATTCATGATCGATGGGGCTGAACTTGAAGACGCTGTCTCTGGTCGAAAAATATTGTTTTTCGCCCTTTGCCTTTTCTTTTACTGCTGCCCTATCACCCCATGCATGGTAAGTCTTTCCTGTACTGTCCAAGAAAAGAAAAAGACACATGTATATCATGCTTCATGTTTCCGGTTTTTGGTTCTCTATTTGCAACCCTCTCTCTCTATTCTACACTTGTCAACATGCTCAACCTTGGTCTCGCATCTGCTTCTTTCTTCGACAATGCTTGAACCCATCGATGGCAACCTTATAAGTTGTACTTGACAACGCGTTCCGCATTCCACTCATGTATCGACATTTCACTTGTTTACCCCATCGTTGCTACGTTTGTCGATGCCCTTGTTGAGGATCCATTACCACGTATACACCCATCACCACAGCAACCCCTCTCTCTCACTCTCGCTCTCGCTCGCTCTCTCTCTTTGTACTTTATACAACAACCCTCCCTTTCTCCCTTGTGTGTATATATCCCAACCCATTGTTTGGGCATGATCCCATTATTCGTTGCTATGCATGTTGTCTTCCTCTCTCTCTCTCTTTTCTTGTACATATCATCCGTTGCTAATCATCATCGTAGAAGACCCCAATCCCAACGCAGTAACAAGCAAACGAGAAGCGGATGGCTTTATAAGCGACACTGAAAATATGGCTATTGTACCTCGTAAACGAAGACGAAGAATTGTAACGTCATCCGAGGAAGAAGACGACGACGACGACGATGAAGATGATCATAACCCAGCAACAGCAACATCCCCATTTTCGGATATGCAAGAAGAATTAACACCCACCCCAGATTGGGACGATGACGATGACGACGAAGATGATGATGACAGCGATCAGAAGAATGGTGATTTCGATACATTTGAAGAATTGAGCGAAGGCGAAGAACGACGTCGTCGAGTTGGTAACAGTGCCGATCCTGATGATTTTCGGTACTTGGATCCAGAATTGTACGGGCTTCGAAGATCCGCACGTAGAACAGCAGCAGTATCCAATGCACAAAGAAAACACAAATCTTATGTATGTACAATTGCATATGTATATATACAGAATCCCATGCCAACCAACACGCTCTATCCCTCATACAGGCATTGTCATTATCAGACGAAGAAGAGGAGGAGGAAGATGATTTGAGTGATCAAGATAGCAGCGATGATGATTATGGTGCTACTACAACAACTTCCAAACGCACAAAAAGAGCTACCAGAGTAAACACAACAGGTAAGATGGGGATACAAGATGAAGTAATTGGATCTCTAACATGTCTTTAATGATTAGCTGGTTGGGATGATTCTGAGGAAGAAGAAGAGGAGGAGGACGATGACGAGAGCTCTGATGGTGACATGTATGGACGTCCTCGAAGGAAAACCAGCAGAAAACGAAGATCCAACAGGGGTAAGGATTTTGAATCATTCCTCGTTTATATAGCTCCGTTGCTGACTAAGCAATTTCAGATGCACAATTCTCTTCCAGTGATGCATTGCGATATTCAACACGTAAAAGGACCGTCACCAACTACAATGAGGATAATGCTGAAATGTGGGGACTTGACGATGATGAGGATGATTACAGCGTGCCAACTTATACCCCACAACTTGAAGAGGAAGAGGAAGGAGATGTGATTGAAAGTATACATGATCATCGGCGTTGTGAAGGATTTGGTAAGCATACATTCAATCCTCTTTGAATGGGTGGGCTTATGTTTTCTAATCCCTTTGTATATAGCTGATGATCCTGAGGATGATCCTGAACACAACATGGAATATCTCATCAAATGGAAAAACTGGTCTCATTTGCATGATACCTGGGAGACTTACCAGCATTCGAGATCGTTCAAAGGTTTCCGAAAGGTGGACAACTATATCAAAACACATGTATATGAAGAGCTTGATATTCGACGCCATCCTGATACAACACAAGAGGATATCGAGCAACTCAATATCAATACAGAGCGACGACGTGATGATATTCAAGCATGGCGAACAGTGGATCGCGTGATTGCCATGAAAGGAAATCCACCTGATTGCGAGTATTTTGTCAAATGGAAACGATTGCATTACGATGATTGCACGTGGGAAAGTTCAGAAATTGTATCCGAAGAGCATCAATCCGAAATTGATGATTTCCTTGATCGTGAGCAGAGCCAACAAATCCCATCGCGTTCAACATCCTACGCTCGATCACGACCCACATTTTCGATTCTTCGTGAACAACCCAGCTTTATTCGTGGTGGCACATTGCGTGATTATCAATTGCACGGTGCTAGTTGGATGTATTGGCTTTGGTGCACCAATAAGAATGGTATTCTTGCTGATGAGATGGGTCTTGGTAAAACGGTGCAAACGATCAGTTTTCTCAGCACCATTTTCCATAAGCATGCGGTGTATGGTCCCTTTCTTATCGTGGTGCCATTATCAACGTCGGACAATTGGATGAATGAAATCAGACAATGGGCACCTGCCATGAATGCCATTTGTTACATTGGCAACCGTAAAGCACGCCAAGTGATTCGCGAGCAGGAGTTTTATATCAGCGGCACAAAAAAGCTCAAATTCAACATCCTCGTGACCACCTATGAGATTGTGCTCAAGGACAAAGACGCATTGGGAGGCATCAAATGGCAGTACCTTGCTGTGGATGAAGCACATCGTCTCAAGAATTCAGAATCGCAACTGTACGAATCATTACAAGGCTTCCATACTGTGAATCGACTCTTGATTACGGGTACGCCATTGCAGAACAGCGTCAAGGAGTTATTGGCCTTGGTGGGATTCTTGATGCCACAAATGGATCTCAGCGAGTTGAATGTTGATCTTGACAAGGAAGATGATCATCAACAGGAAAAGATCAAAAAGTTGCATGAGAGTCTCAAGAGTATCATGTTGCGTCGTTTGAAAAAGGATGTTGAGAAATCACTTCCCAGCAAGACCGAACGCATTCTACGTGTGGAAATGAGTGATACGCAACGTGATTTGTACAAGAACATCCTCACCAAGAACTTTGAGGTGCTGAATCGGGGCTCTGAAAAGAACAAAAAGCAATGGTTGAATATTGCCATTGAACTCAAGAAGGCAAGCAATCATCCCTATCTTTTCCAAGATGCCGAATTTGCTACGGGGAGTCGTATTGAACAGTTGCGTGGTGTTGTGGAAAACAGTGGCAAAATGGTGCTTCTCGACAAGCTTCTTACGCGGCTCAAAAACGATGGTCATCGTGTGCTTATCTTTTCACAATTGGTGATGATGCTGGATATCTTGTCAGATTACATGACGCTACGAGGACACCCTTTTCAACGATTGGATGGTCGTATGCGTACTGAAGATCGTACCAAGGCGATTGAGCATTACAATGCACCTGACAGCCCTGATTTTGTGTTTTTGTTATCGACGCGTGCTGGTGGTATGGGTATCAATCTTGTCACAGCCGATACGGTGATCATCTTTGATTCGGATTGGAATCCGCAGAATGATCTTCAAGCCATGTCACGTGCACATCGTATTGGTCAGACCAAATCAGTCAATGTGTATCGCTTTGTCACCAAGGGTACCATGGAGGAAGATATTATCGAACGTGCCAAGCGCAAGATGGTGCTTGAATACTGCATTATCAAACAAATGGATACCTCGGGTCTTTCACTTTTGCCTGAAAATGCCCTCACCACCGCCTCTGGCAAGATGCGTCAACTACCCTTCAGCAAGGATGAAATGTCTGCTATTCTCAAGTTTGGTGCACAAAACATTTTCCAATCGAATGAGAATACCCAAAAGCTCAGCGATATGGATTTGGATGATATCTTGGCGCGTGCTGAACATACCGAGACCCTTGAAGGACAAGATAGTGCATTGGGTAGTGAAGACTTTTTGGCCCAATTCCAGATTTCTGATTATGGTGGCACGGCCAATGACTTGAGTTGGGAGGATATCATTCCAGATGAAGATCGACGCGCCAACGAGGAAAAGAAAATGATTGAGAATGAGTTGGCCTTGTTTGAACGTGCCGCTAAAAAGAAACGCAAGATCTATCGTGATGAGGATGACCTTATTTTGACCGATGGTGAAGATGAGCCCAAGGTGTCGAGGAAACGCAAACGCAAAGCTGCTTCTGCTGCTGCATCCAGCAACAGTAGCGAGATGACCGAAAAGGATCTGCGTACCTTGATACGATGCTTACTAAAGTGGGGAGATGTTGAGAATCGATACGATGAAGCTGTACAGCGCACGGATCTCGAATTCAAGGATAAAAAGGTGGTCTTGGAATTGCTGGATGATTTGGTCACGTCCTGTCGATCCAAGATTGGAGAGCAGCTGCAGGCCACAGATATCAGCGAAGAAGCGATGCTTCGAGAAGTACGACATACCAAGCAAAAGGCGATTCTTTTCACGTGGCGTGGTATCCAAAGTGTCAATGCAGGACAAGTTTTGCAGCGTCATCATGATATGAAGGTGCTTCGACAAAGATTATCGTCCATGGCGAATGTGCTCAAGTTTAGAATGTCCCTTGGCGCCAAGCGTGTGCAAGGCTGGTCCTGCGCATGGGGTCAAAAGGAAGATGCCATGTTGCTTGTTGGTGTGGATCGACATGGATTTGGTAACTGGGCCAAAATCCAAGCTGACTCGGATTTGGAATTGGATGGCAAATTCTTTTTGGGTCAAGATGAAGATGATTCTACTACTGCAAAGGAGGATAAACGTACTCCCAAAGCGATTCACCTTGTACGACGTGCCGAACAACTACTCAAGATTGTAGCCGAAGATGACAAGCATCGACGACCCACCAAGCAACAACAACAATCCACTTTGAAATTCTCCAAAGCTAAAAGCCCATCATCATCATCATCATCCACCACGCGAAAGGCTAGCAGTAGTAGTCCTTCAGCAGCAACAAAACTACGTTCTGGATCACCCATGTTGTCCAATGGACATCATCGCAAGGGCAAAGCTGCCTCCTCTTCTCCTTCTTCCACAACACCATCATCCCATCATCATCATCATTCTTCTTCGACAACAACAACACAACCACACTCATCTTCCAAACGATCTGAAAAAGAAAACAAATACCCCGCCGATGATGAAATGTACGAGAGTTATGATGAAGACGAAGCACGACGTGTTTTGGAACCCGTACGACACGTGTTAGTCAAATTACGAGATGATACCAGCAAATTGGAGCCAAGTAAAAAGGCCACCGTGATCAAAGATTGTGTCGGCAAGATTGGTAAATGTATTGACAAGGCCATGGATCGACTCTCTAGCAATTATAGCAGCACGCGACGTCACAAGTATCATCGTGATATGTGGCTCTATGTCAAACGATTCTGGCCAAGCAAAAAGGTACGATACAAGGATTTGGTCAATATTTGGGATCGAATGAAGGCAGCCGATTCATCTACGACGTCTCGATCATCCAACGACCGAAGAGCATTACCCAGTGGTGGTAGTAGCAGCAGCAGCAGTAATAATCATAATACCAACAACAACAACAACACAACATCATCCTCCAACAGTAATTCTTCCTCTCACCACCGTCGACACCATCATCATCATCATCATCATCGTAGTAGTACCTCTTCTAGCAGTAGCTACCATCATCGTGATCACAGAGACGAACGCAGGGATCGTCGCCGTTAATCTATTGTTTTGATTTTTTTGTTCAATTCTGCATTGCATCATAGTACAATAAAGACACACGCTCTCTCTCTACTCTCTACTCTCTTTTAATCCTTACGCATACCCGCGTAAAAGAGTGACGTGAAGTAGGGGACCCATGAAACGACTTCAACAACAGCAGCAGCAGCAGCAAAGTAAAGCGCGCGTTTTCTCCGCTCGGCGCTTCAAAAATTTTTTTGCTTGCCATTGTCTATAAAAGAGCACGCTACCCTTGCCACCTTTTCAACTTTATCTTTCTCTGCTACTGGTAAGTTTTGACTATTGCTCTATTTTCTACCTTCATTTCTCCTATCTGTTGTTGGTTCAATGATGATTGGACTTTTTGCTACTAAACCCAGCTCATTTTGATCCGCTGTGAAAGATCGAATGTTCCTTCGTATCTGAAGAATCCACAACAGAACCCATTTTCTTTCTTGTATTCTGTTATTGAGTATTGTGTACTTATCTACATCATCACTTTACTAGGTTATGATCTCGGTGGCTATGTAAATACATTCATTATTACCTTCTACTTTTATAATAAAAAACCTATTTTAAATGTAATGATGATGACTGTTCTTTATGTCAAGTGATGGGAGAAAGCCACCCCAAAGTAGTAGGAGGGGTCTATTCATGTGTGTGAGAGAGAGAGAGAGACCAGCCGTGAGAGAGTAAGGTAGCTATTATTTTCACTCTTTCTTTCCCGGGTATAATACATGTCCGAGTCCACATTAGCCGAAGACGAGCAAGAATTACAGCACTTGATTGCCGAGTTGCAAGAGCAGTACCATCGTTCAGTCCCTGTCGACAATGTTGTTCAGTTTTGTGTCAACTTTTTTTACAATAAACTGCAGCAGCAGCAGCAACAGCAACATGATTCGGATACAGAGTCCACGTTGTCATCGTTACCGCCCATGAGCACGTACAATTTGCAGGATAGACGAGTCTCAGTGAGTGCCGAGTCCATGACGCCTTCTCGTGCGTTTATGCCTTTTAGCAGCAACAAGAAACCAAAGACCCGAGAACAGTGTGAGCGTATTCGAGCGAGTGTGGCCGATCATTTCTTATTTCGCGACTTGGACGAGGAGCAATATCGAGATGTGATTGATGCCATGGTGGAGAAGCGAGCCAACAAGGATGAGCGTGTCATTGAACAGGGCGCTGTAGGAGACTATTTCTATATCGTGGAACAAGGGCATCTTGATTGTTATATCCAAGATCGGAAAATCACGCATTATACAGCAGGTGGCAGCTTTGGCGAATTGGCACTCATGTACAATGCACCACGCGCTGCTACCATTGTGGCCACCACCCACGATACCGTCTTATGGGCCCTGGATCGTATCACTTTTAGAACCATTCTCATGGAAAACACATCGAGACGTCGTAGGCTCTATGAATCCTTTTTACGTGACATGCCACTGCTAAGATCACTCGAACCCTATGAACGCCACAAAATCGCTGATGCCCTCGAGTCCGTTTCGTTTCAGGATGGCGACAAGGTCCTTGTACAAGGAGACGTTGGTGATCGCTTTTACATGATTGAAGAAGGTGAAGCCCTTGTATACCAAGACAATAAAAAGATCAATCGACTCGGCCGAGCTGCTTATTTCGGTGGTACGTAAGATGATGGGTTGTTTCTTTTCCTCTATACACACACACTAAATGGATGTATAATAGAATTGGCTTTGTTAAATGATGGTCCAAGAACAGCAACCGTAGTAGCCCACGGTCCACTAAAATGCGCAACATTGGGTAAAAAGGCATTCAACCGGCTATTGGGTCCTGTATTGGATATTCTCAAACGCAACTCTCAAAACTACATTGAAGTAATCAGCAGCTTACCCTCGGCTTCTATACCACGGAATATTCCCCTTCATTAAATAGTACAACATCCACTCCCCTCTCTCTGATTAGAATCCATGTTGTATAATCGTTTGAATGAGAGCTATTAAAAGATCGAGTGTTGTGGGTGGTGATCCATGTTAAAACAAGACCGAGTGCATAGCAACAGCAACCTCCCGCCAAAAAAGGAAAATGCCATGGCAACGTACAATAGACAAAACATGATGCTATGTGAATATATATTTTGACATGATGAATGGGTTACAAATGATGAATGATATTCTGATTACTGCTCCTCATCTTCAGCCTTGCGCTTCTCGCCAATCTTAGGATCGGACTTGCCCAAGTTTGCATAGGCTTGAGAAGTTTCACCTAGTATGTATATACAAAGGTTAGATACATACAATTCATGGTATATATATAACAACAGCCTACCGTCAGCGTATCTAAAGTTGATGTTCTTGACTTCCTCCTTGGACTTATCCCGAAGAGCGAAAGTCTTCTCTCTGCTAAGCTTGCCCTCGTTCAATTCAATGTAACCAGCACCTTCTCCAGAAAAGGTAACGGATGCAACATCGTCCTTGCCAACAATTTCCTATACGCACACACACACCCATGGTCAGCATGTGAGATAGACACAAACACACACACGCACGCATCCACGAGACTCACCTTGATGGCATCAGCATCAAGATCCTTTGCACCCTCGAATGTCATCAATCGGTTGTTGAACTTTGGTTGATCCTTTTTCTTGTTGTTAGGTTTCTTTTTGTCGCCTTGCTGTTGGGATTTGCCGTTATCAAAGAATGCATTGAATTTGCGCTTCTTGTAAGTTCTTGGTGCATCCTTGTACAATTCAGACTTTTCATCCAAGTATTGCTTCCTGGAAAAAAAAGTTAGGAAGGGTGGTCGATGTATAAAGGAGGGAAGAAGCAATCATCTTACTTGGTCTTGAGCAAGAGATCCTTTCCTTCGAATTGCAATCCCTTGGAAACAATATCCTTGGCTTCTTCAGGTGTGCTGAATTCGATAAAGGCACTGCCCTTGAACTTTGGGGACTTTTCATCGGTCTTGCGAAGACGCACAGACAACACCTTGCCATGTTGGGAAAAGAGCTCATCAATCTTATCTTGCAACTGTAAAAGGACCTCCTTGGGATTCTCGACGTTTTCATCCAACAATGGGAAACCTTTCTAATGTACCCCACATCCTGCTTGTTAGTATTGAATGATGATGATCCATCCCTAATGGTATATAGACTTACAGCGTAAATGGAACGCTCCACCATGTTTTGCTTAACAACAGGCGTTTTGCGTCGAATGTTTTCACCACTCTCGTCAAGTTCAACAAGCTCGGAAGGCTGATCACGGATAGCAGCAACGACAGTGGGCAAGTCCTCAGTCAACATTTTCATTTTCTTAAAGCCGGCAATGGTGGCAAGAGGCACCCCTACGGGATCGCTGTTAGATCTAGATCGTCCAACACCACCTCCACCACCCTGTGTGTATGTGATTGTACTTACAGCCCTCGCTGTTCTTTTCCTTCAAAGTCCACAAAAACTTGTCGAATGGGAGATTCGAATCGCTAAAGTAGAATTCCACTTGCTTGAGGATTTTGGGGGCGACGTCGGCCATGGCGGTTTGTGTTGGTATGTGTAAAGTGCGTATCTTGACAACGAGAAAAAAGCCTGTCTCCAAGGTCAACGCCTGAATGATGCAAAACTCAGCTCGATCCAGCCAATCAAGAAGACGACAGCCAACAAGCCTTCGTGAGTTCTCCTACCACCACCGGTAGTCTTCCTTCTCTCTCATGCATGATCCCCTTCTTTAGTCAATAAAGAAAAATCAATATTCATTGTATTGTATGCAGCATGAAGATAGAAGGATTCCAATGGAACTTGTATGCATGAATAGATCAGAGAAACCAAAATTGGGACTGCTGGATATCTTGAAGAAAAATCGAAAAGTCGATCAAACAACGATTCATCCGTTTCATTGGGCTTTGATCCCGCGGATGCATGCACATGCACGCTTACACGTCAAACCTGAATGTTTGAGTCAAAATGGATCGACATTAACAAACAATTATAAAAAGGGCAACTTTTGTTACCCCACACACATGTTGTCTTTGGCAGCACGTCGTCATGATCCATTGCTGTGCTACTACTCTACTCCTACCACGCATGTCGTCCACCACCATCACCAACACTGCACCGTCACCGTCAGAGCTACATTTAGCACATGATTTGTGCATTACGCCCGAAGAGCTTATTTCTTTAAAGCATGGTGAGTTTAAATGCATCCCAAGTTATGTGATCCAAGCAACACCACTAATACTAAATACAGCATTCCATATGCTGGATATCAAGAATCAAGGCATCATACCCATGGATACGTTTATTACCGTTTTGAACTACCTGAACATGCAGCATGCTGACAGGGTTGCGCAAACGATCACTGCCACCTTTGATATCATTGACTTTGAAGCATTTGCCACCACCATGGTTCATTTGATGCTGGATGATGTCGACGACAACCACCACCTTCTTCATCATCATCCCGATAACGATTTGTTGGCATGCTTTAAAGCGTTTGACCAAAATGGTGATAATCTTATTAGCCGTGACGAGCTGCAACATGTCATGACAAGTCTTGGAGAACGACTCTCTCCTTATGATATTACAGCCATGATGACTGAAGCAGATACAAATGGTGATGGATTCATTGATTTCGAAGAATTCAAACGGCTGCTCCCTGAATGAATACATAATGCCCCTGCCTTGTAAATATCTTGTATCTATATAGTTTCCCCCAAAAGCCCATATCCTTTCTTTTTGTAAATCATATCAACTTTATCTATTGAGCCATGTACTTTATGCATCTGTATACTATCATGTTCGATATGGATCATTCTATATGTTTGAGTAGCTCGGGGCGCGTGGATTTGGGGGTGAGAGGTTAAATCGGGTGTGGGTGGGGGGG